GTACATGGTAAAGATTTATTTCTATATTTATACGTAATTATAAAAAGTCTAGGATTAAGGATATCCTAATTAAAAGTACATAGAGGTACCAATGGAGACCCAAGATTGAAACATTATTTGGATAGTTTGTAATTAAAACAATTAATTCAATCTTACTTAAAGCAATTAAAAAATTGTTTGGAACTGGAAAGACACACCTGAATTAACCTCAGGCTTGCAGTATGTTTGGGCAACGTGTCCCGGAAAATCAATTTCCATTATCCCAAATCTGTATTTACAACTTACTGTATCCTGGAAGTTTAGAAAGGGTGGGGATAAACACTGGCTCCTAATCTTTTAAACCTTCCATGCTTTAAATAGATGAATACTGTGACTAATTAGCTAAAGAATGAATTAGAGATTTGAGTATCAATGGGAAATCTGCCTCTATGTTTTACATAAGAATTGGTCCCAGGTTTCATCCTGGTTCAAATGAATCATGAAATAATAATACCTTTCCCTGCCATTCCCATTACAGCAGATCTCTTTTGTATTTTCTCTATTTTTCTTGATTTCTTTTTATTTTTTTCCCCTCTCTATATGTATCTTGGATTAATGTAGTTACTTGATATTGTTTGTTAAAATAATAAAAATATATTTTAAAAAATTACACTTAGTCTCCTGCTAATACTATCAGAATATTGACAGTGCTGTAAATCTAGCCTGAGCTGAAAGGAGACCAAGAGAAGTATTATCCTTTGTAATTACCAAGGTTAAAGGCATGCAATTGGAACCTATAGTAAGATCATTATCTGCCTTGAAACAGACCATAATACAAGCTCCTACAGAGATCCAAACTCTGTATTTTATTCAATTTTCCTACCGAACCATTTTCCTACTTCAGGCTGAGTCTTGATTTCTTGTAATTCAAGAATCTCTCCTCCATCACTATGTTATGTCTTTCTGAACTGGTGACATGTTCAAAATTTGTTTCATAGGATGCACAGTGGTTTAAAGAATGATATGAAATGCAATCTATGGTTACTGTTAAAATCTTAGTGCCTGCATTTATCAAGGCGCAACAGCTCTCCAACTGGAACATAAATAAAGATCATTTCATGGCTTGGAAAGAACAGCAATAGGCAGGAACCCTTGCTGATACTAGAAGTTAGGAGGGTTTAAAAAAATAAATAAATAAATCCTGGAATAGCCATGAGAATCACAAAATCTGTAAAAATAGATCAATCTCGTCATCCATTGATGAGAAATTGATGTGATACAATTAAGAATGCAAATTAAAAGAGATTAGGAAATTGACCAGACAGAATGCTTTTGATAAAATAGGGCTGTATATATATATATATATTTTCTGGCCAAACAGGAATGTTGAACAAACTTGAAGGCATTATCAAAATTCAGTGGAAAACGGAGAACCAACAGAATATGTTCTACTAACCCACACTTCTTCTGACTGTAGTTTGGACAGAACATCATGAAATTTGGGCACCCAAAAACTGCAGAATCCCCCAAATGTGGAGGTTCTTAACTATTCTCAATTATTTGAGAATGTTCTTAAAGATCATTGTTGAAATTTATTACAAAATTATTATTAACCATTTTCTACTACCTCTATCTATTCTCAATTCTGGCAACCTATTTTTTTGTAACGCAAAATTCCACCCCCTCATCCTCTTCCTCCCAACTTTTTCCTAAACAATAAGGCCTCAGAGAGATGGTCTGGCCGCCTCAGTCTTGAGATCTTTTGATCCTGCTGGCAATTTTTGGCCACGGCCCCCCCACCATCACGCTTTCTCCAGCTGCAGCACTGTAGGGATCTGCTTGTCCTGGCCTATTCCTGCTATAAATGCCACAAGAAGATCTTAATTTAGGTAATTTACAGCTTGGATTGTCCCAAGGGAATATTATCTTCCTAGTTTATATCTCTAGGATGTCCTGGACATGTTGTCAAAGGCACCTTAACAAGAGGCAGTTAAAAAGAGGCTTCTTTGATACAGGTGAGATGAACCAGGTGATTTGGCCTGCGGCTGAGATGCAGGCAGGTAGCCACGGCTTTTGTTGAAGCCACAATAAAGGACGGAGCTCTTTGTCTTTACTTGCAGATTCGCCCAGATGCAAGATACGCTCCTGCCACGGGGCTACGCTCCCTCCGAGGAATTTATTTCTGCTGCTCTGTTTGGGAGGCATAACCTGAGACGAGGGGAGGAATGGGACACACAATAAAGTAGCCAGATTTGCATTTTTAATACCTGAGGACGGATTGCCCTGCCTCAGAACAGTTTTCTTTTCCTGAAAAAAGACAGGCCATTATTCATTTGCGACGTCCCCAACTGGAGCACGAGAGCGGAGGGCCTGATCAGATTTCTCTCTCCTACATAAAATTGTGTCTCGATCTGCTTTTGTTCTCTGGCAGCCTTTGCCTGTTGACAGCCTGATCCTCTGCGTCCCCTCAGACACAGGCCTGCCCTTGCAAGTGCATGTCGACTGCAGTCAAATCAGAGGCCTGGCCGCCACTGACCCCTGTGTGGCCCCTTCGGACAGAGAGATCGGCCGGCCTGTTAATAAAGCCAGCCGGCTGGCCAGCAAAGGCCTGGTTTGGCACCAAGTAAAAGACTGGGAGTCGGCTTTCAGATGTTGCTGAAGTACGGCTTCCAGATTCCCTCCTGCTGAGCTACAGAGGGCCAGATGTGGAATCCCGTGGAACATCTGGGAAGGCAGGCCCCGTTCAGATCAGCTGCAGACTTATCTTCAAGGACAAGAACAGATGCCAACGCTGCTGCTAGCTGAGGAAAGGAAGTCCACCCCCCAGGGCTCTCCTGCCTTTCTCCCCTGCTCCACTTAAGCCCGCCTTGCGACGAGGATGTTCCCCAATTAATGGAAAGTGGATCCTTGCTACTGTGATGAGACCAGCCGAAGAATAGTAACACCTGTAATCACAGAATAACCAAGTTAGGAGGGATCCTGGAGGTCTTCTAGTCCAACCCTCGGATGCAACGGGAGACCCTGTGCCATTTCAGACAAAGGGCTGTCCACTCTCTTCTGTAAAACTTCCAGTGTTGGATTTCCCCCCCCCCCCCACTTCTGATTCTCTCCTGGATTGGTTTCCATCCGCTGCTTGTTGTCCGGCTTTCAGGTGCTTTGGAGAAGCGGCTGAGCCCCTCTCCTTCCTTGGGGAAGCCCCTTAGATATTGGAAGACTGCCATGGTGTCATCCTCAGTCCTTCTTTTCATTAAACTAGACATCTGGAGGCACACCTGGATCTCTTCTCACTGGTTCTTGATAGCAGAGGATGGAGCTGTCCTTTCAGGCCAGTGAAGGCTCTCATCTATCCTGCAATGATCACTATTTTAACATGCTATTTATCTCGAAGGGCTGAACGTCCTAATTTCAAGTGTGGGTTTGTTCTGGCCTTAATTTTTGCTCAACTTTCTATACACATCAGATTATTATTCTTTTTAGTGACAGGGCTGCCTTTGAGATTTCTGTCTGAGTCATTTTAACTGGGAGCAAGTTACAACTTCTGCCATGTTGTCTTTGGGAAGTGATCGCATTGACCTGAAACTCTGAAAGTCCCTGGAAAGGAGAAGGGGCTTGGGGGGCGAGAGGGGTGGAGCAATGGGCCGGCAGCCCAAAGGCTGAGGACGCCAAGCGGCGGATTTGCCTCTGAGCTTCCTAGGAACAATGCGCCCCGTGCTGAGATCGTTATAAATGCCAAAATTCAAGGAAAAGCCCTGAATTTTGCAATACTTATGCCCACCAAGTGCCACTGCTGCCCTCTGGCGCCTGATTCGAGTGCTGTTTCTTTTGGTCCAACCTTATTGGATATTGGAAGAACTTTGAAGGGATGTAAAAGAAAATAAAAATAAAGTCCTTTCCAAGTCCAGCTTAATATCTGAGGACCAAATAGACAAATACATTGAGCGGTCTTGGCTATATTAGCCATGTGGCTTGCCATTGCCTTTTTTGGACACTGAAAGCTTAAATTCACTTCCTGAGAAATCGTATTTTTCTGCTTAATTGTCAGTCAGCCAGCACCTTTCATGTGTAGAAAAGTGACCCAAATTAATGGCCCAAGCAATATCGGCTCCCAGATTTGGGGAGCAGCTTTGCAAATGAACATATATGGCCTGGGAGGAATTGGGACGCAGGTCTTTATAAACAAAGAACTTGGCATTCTTATACGTCCTCAGGCTCTCATTATTCTTTGTATGCTTAAGAAGCTGTCAATCTGATTCTGGACTGATACAAATCTCAAAACCCGTTGACTTTTCCCAGTGCCCTTGCCCTGAGCTTTATTTCAAGGGATCTTTGTTGGCTCCCAAACCTAACGTAGCTTCGAGGACTAACAAAGCAGGAGACTTTATACCATTATACCAGACCGAAGATTCCCCAACCTTTTCTTGAAAACCTCCAGCCATGAAGCCTCCACACACCAGGAGGCCAGCTGTCCAATTAATTAATTGATGTCACTCTCAGAAAATTTCTCCTTAGTTCCAGATTGGATCCCTCTTTTTCCACCTGTTACTTCTTTTCCTGCCCTCCGATGCTTGAAGCGTGGTCCGGTAAGTGCAAATATAAATTCCTGTCCAGACATACAAATGACTGAGGCGGGCAATGAATGCTGTGGAGATTAAAGTAAGTGGAGGAACTCTCAGATGCAATGGGGTGGCTACAGCCTGTTCTCATTTTCCAAAAGCAACTTGCAGGCCTTTCAAAGAGGTTCAAACTGACAGTGATATGAGAATTGAACAACCTTAACACCAGTGGTGAGGTGGTCCTGCTAGGTAATCCCCAAATTATTTGCTTAACCTGCCTGATCCTTCTAGGAAATTCCAGTTTTATTTGCTTAACAACTTTCTCCTGCGGAGGGTGAAGGGAGACGGAAGAGAATCCGCTGCCCTCAGCGTGAGGCTAAGCAACCGGACGGGCTCAGCAGAGGAAACGCTGGACCACGAAATACTGGAGTTCCTGATTCTGGAGGAAACTGAAAAGAAGGACAGTCAATGGATATGATCGTTTATTTCTCCTCCTCTTTCCCAAGTCTGGAAGTTCCTAAACATACGTAGACAAAGGACAATTCTGTATGCTTACTTTCTCCCAGAAAGCCACACTGTTTGATAACATTTAATATAACAAAGCTGTATAATGGGAATTGCTTTCTAAAAATGTCCCTCCGCCACCTGTGTGTTCCTCTCTCCAAGCAGAAGTCTCTGCAGCAATGTTAGCAGGGTCCATTGCTCAGACCACACCATTTCTCTCTTCCAGCGGCTGTCAGAGCTATTACCTGTATTGCTATGATGGAATAATGAAATACCACAGAAGAAAAACAGACCGTCCTTGTGGTGTGACGGGGACCCGTGGTGAAGAGAGCAACCAGCCAGGATTCTTGACTGTTGGTCATTGCCAAGGATGTCTCTACCTTGGACTTCTGCAAGCTGATGCAAAAGACGAGCTTATTCTTGAGCCACCTGGGGCATCACATCTGGGGAGAAAGGATGAAGGCCGTCTCAGATGTGCTTTCCTTGGCCAAGCCCTCCGGCTCTTCTCCGAGAGGCAGCACCATCTCCTCCACCTGTTCCTCCAAGCCAACTGGCTTCTTCCTAGAGACAAGGCATGATGAGGCCATGAAAGCCTTTGGCCTTTGGCAAGCTTGGAAAAAGCTCCTCAGACGGCCAGCAAGGGAACCAAATTTGCGGTGGAAAGAAGATGTTTCTCTACTCCTGTCTTCTGCCATTTCATCCACAGCTTCATCATGAGGATCACTGCTCTGTTCTGGTGGTCCATTTCCTGTATCTTCTTTCTGTTGCTTACTCAGCAGGAAATAGGCTAGACTGGTGAGGATCAGCTGGGTGCCTGGAAAAGGAGGAGGGCAGACAGAGGAGGGAAGGGGACAGAGGGAAGGAAGGAAGGAAGGAAGGAAGGAAGGAAGGAAGGAAGGAAGGAAGGAAGGAAGGAAGGAAGGAAGGAAGGAAGGAAGGAAGGAAAGCTGAGGCTATTCTGAGTAGGATAAAATACATAGCAAAATACAGGGAGACAGCAGTGATTCCATCGAGTAGCTCAAACTACTTGCTTCTCCAATCATTTTGATCTTGGATTCCCTCCAATAATTTTCACATATTCTTTTTTATTTTTAAATCAAGACTTCCTGAAGTTTAATCAGCTAATTCCTTCCATCTGTTTGCAGGACACGTGGAGAGAAAGTTAAACCTGGGGTCTCTCAACCTTGGCAGACTGAAGATGGGTGGACTTCAGCTCCCCAGGGTGACTTCCTTGGCCTGGGCTCCAGCCCCTCTTCTCCGACCGTTGCCTTGGTGGCACCCATGCCGCCTTCCTGCCCCTCGAGGCCATTCCCTCTGCCCTCTGCCAAGGGTGAATTTGGGCGCCCTCCTTAGACAGAAGGTCTTTGAAACCTCTCCCGATTGCAGCAGCCATTCCCGGCTTCTGCCCTTCCTGCCCGGGGCCGTGGGGCCGCCCCCACTTACCTGGCAACATGACCTGCCAGACGTGGACAGGGCTGAGGAAGCAGGCGATGGAGAGCAAGGCGTACGCCAGGAACTTCTGGAAAGCTCCCCGGCGTTTGGCTCGGAGCCAGCAAGTGTGCATGGCGGATCCCCTCCAGGGGCTGCAAAGAGGGAGAGGGGCTGACCTCCATGCCGTCCTATTATACATTTTCAAGGCTGGGAGACCACTCAGATGAACTGCCTCAAATGCCGAATATTGATCGACCCGGCAGTTGGCCCTAGGGAAAGTCCCTTTACATGGGCTCCCGCGTGAGGCCCTGGACCTGACTGGGGACCATTTTCCTGTCAAAGGGAGGACAGGAAGGAAACTCACACGAAGCAGGAGATCAGGAGGAGGCTGGCAAAGTAGGCCACTTCCCAGAGAGAAACCGCCATCCCTGAAATACTGAAGCATGAAGATCTGTTAGGGAGGCAAGCTGAGGGCAGGCAAAGGCAATCCCCGTGCCGGTAGCCACTTCAGGCCCTGCCCAGACAAAACGCACGGGATGCCAGGAGAGAAGCCTGAAGGCCTCACCGTCTCCACCGGCCTCCTACTAGGGCAGGGGTAGGCCACCTTGGCTCTTTTATGACTGGTGGACTTCAACTCCCAGAATTCCTGAGCCAGCCTGGCTCAGCTTGGAAACCTCTCCCTTTCCCCTCAGCATGGCTGGCTCAGGAATTCTGGGAGTTGAAGTCCACATGTCTTAAAGTTGCTGAGGTGGCAAAACAATGGTCTAGGTCAGGGGTAGGCAACCTTGGCTCTTTTATGACTTGTGGACTTCAACTCCCAGAATTCCTGAGCCAGCTGTACTAGCGAGAAACGTTAAGCAAGCATCAAGCGTCAGAAAACAAGCATTGCCTGACAGGGAGAGCAAGGCTCGGCCTCCAGAGGTTGTTTGTGCTCCGTCACTGGAGGCCTTTTAAGAAGAGACCGGGCGGCCATTTGCCTGGAATGGCATGAAGTCCCCTGCCTTGAGCGGGGGTTGGGCTAGAAGACCTCCAAGGTCCCTTCCAACCCTATGGTTCTATGTTCTATGTAGCCAGATATGGCAACTACCTGTTGCCTTCATCCGTGGGGGGGGGGTGATTATTAAGCTTTATTCCTGTTCCTGTGTTACCCTACATGAACAATGGCTGCTCCTTCTCAGGACCGATCTAAAGTAAACAGAAACAGAGAGATGTCCTTACTTCTTCCATTAATCTAAGACGGCTTTGAAGGTCTGGATAACATCACAACACGAAATTTTAAAATATGCTTCCACATTAAATCCACAAATGGATTCCCACAGCCATTTTGAGATGGGGGTCTAATGTAGTACCATTAATATGACTAATGGGGAGTGGGAGTTAATGCATTGGGTCCAACATGTATACTTCCACATTTAATCAATCTTGGAAGCCATGGGGGATCACCCTCCCCCATCCCTGGTGGCCAGCCCCCAGCCCCCTTTTAGTCTTTCAGACACCATCAAGACCTGGCTTTTGACCAAGGCCCTGGGATAGGATAGGATAGGATAGGATAGGATAGGATAGGATAGGATAGGATAGGATAGGATAGGATAGGACAGGATTAATGGAATGACAGGAATTAATGGAGTTTGCTGTGGGACATCTTAAGGGGAAGATTACAAAAAATTTGCTTTTGATTGTTTTATGATTATCTTTTATAGTTATGGCTTTACTGCTGTTGTGAGCCACCTAGATTTGTTTAAGATGGGCAGCCACACGAATCTTTTAAATAAGTAAATAAAATCTACACAATTCCAGCAACAAGTCTGCTTCTGAGGTACGGCATCTGTGAGGAGTTTTGGAAAACCCACTTTGCAAAGTCAGCCATTCCTTCCCCACTGATCAGAGAATGCGTGAACTGGAAAAGGCCTCGCCGGCTTTGGGACTGGAGCAGCACATAAGCTTCATCAATAAAATGAAAATAAAATATATTTGCTCCAGTCTCTGGACATTCCAGGATTAAAGGAGCTGGGTGAAATGGATGTTATTTACATAATTTTATGAAAAATGACATATTCTGGTAAATTGATGCGAGTTTCTTTAAGTAATGTGAGATTTGAGCTCACAATGAGGTTAATGCAACAGAATTTTTATTTTGCTTGTCTTGTAATTGCTACATTTTGGGCTCAAATCCACAAGAATATTAACTTAATATGAGTTTATTTTGTTCAGTTGAGATGCATATGTTCCTCTTGGCTACACCCCCATTATTTTAAAACTTTTAAATACTTTTCATGCCTGGAAGAACAATCAATAACATTTAGCATTGAGGGGATAAATCTGTATCACATATCACAGCAATGGATATTTTACTTGTCAATATTTACATCACAGCTTTTGTTTTGGACAAAAAGAAGAGGGCATTTTGAGGCAGTTTTGTTAGTGATCTTTTTTTTTCTTTGTTGTCCCTTAATTTTGATATTTTGTTTTATTGTTTTCCTTTTGCTTTTCCCTTTTGTTAGTATTTCTTTAAAAAAAAAGGCAAAGAGTGTGGAACAATCATGGCTGAAGGCTTTAAAACAAAACTCTCTGTTCTGTGTAGCAATCAGCTTATATTTAATTAAAATAATAATAAAGCACAGAACGGTTGGAAAGGTACAGGGGTTTCCAGAAGGAGGAGGGCAGAGCCAGTCTGGCCTAGTGGTTATGGGGCTGGCCTAGAAACTAGTTGACTGTGAGTTCTAGTCCAGCCTAATAAAGTTGTGTGCTTGGTGAGCCATCTCACAAGGAAGGGGTGATGGAGGAAGGAGAAATAAAACCCCTCAGGTGTTGTTCGAAACACAGAGAGAGGTTTCTGAAGGAAAGAAAGATGCCCAGAAGCCTGGGAGGAGAGAAAAGGAGATGCCCTCCTCCTGAACCAAATGCTTTGCAAAACACTTAAAATCCTTGCAAATAAGGGAGAAGGATCTGCCCCCCCCCTTGCTGTAAAGAACCCCCAGGGAAGCCAATTATTATTATTCACTAACATAAAATGTGAAGACAGCCCAGAGCCTGGATGCTATTAAAGGAAGCTGCTAAAGGAAGCCAGAGAGATTTATCGTGTGAAACCCACCCAGTGCCCACCCCAATGGACCCTCTCTCCGTTCCTCCAGGCTCACTTCCAGGGGGCCAGAAGGTGACTGTCTTCTTCTGGGCTTTTAATGGGCTTCCCAGAAGCTCCAGCTTTGCTGTCAATAAACATTCAGAAGATAAACACCGAACTAATTCAGAAGGGAACCTCTTTTTCTTCATGTGGCAGGACACCCAGAATGCATTTTTTTTTCACTTGGCCATAGTTTAGAATAGCAAAGGCACCCCAGGCGTAGCTGAACTACAGTTCCCACTAGAGGTATCCAAGCCAAGGGAGGCAGGTGCTCAACCTGGGGGAATCCCCTCCAGAAGGACAACTGAGGCCGTGATGTGATTCAAGAAGGGGCCCAGAGCCGCTTTCCTTCCCTCAGACCCGGCCGCAGCCATACTCACAGGAGGTAAAGGGCCAGGCTCTTCGACTGTCCGTGCAGAAGGGTGTCGATGCCCACGCCAAGGAGCACTGGGGTGCAAAAGAAAGCGGAGCAAGCCCGTTCGTGAGTGGCATCGTCTTAACAGCGGGAAGGTGTCATCCATGGAGAACGAGGGAAGTTGCATGGGGCATGGCACAATGTTGCAAATAACACAAATGCCATTACTTGGGTCATTTTAACGATATGCCACAACACACATAACATGATTGCATCTCACGCCAGGCTTTGCACATCTACAGCAATATCAGCCTTTCTCCTAGCCATTTCCAAAGAAGGGAACATTGGTGGGACGCCCCATCCCACCCATTTAAGGGGGTCTGATTCAGAGTCTGCCGGGACGAGTCCCTGCGGTTTTCCTCGCAAAGTTTTCCAGAAGTGGCTTGCCATTGCCTCTTCCCTAGGGCTAAGAGAAAGTGACTGGCCCAAGGTCACCCAGCAAATGCTATGGTCGTTAACTGAATCCATTGTCCACAACGGGTGTTTTGTGCCAGAAACAGGAAATTAACACTGGTTTTCGGCAAAAAAAAAAATGCCATAAATCATGGTCACATAACCATAGGATGTTGCAAACTGCTTAAATGCAGGCTGGTTGCTGAGCAGCCAAAATGCTTTTTTTCCCTTCCCTTCCTCTCCTTCCCTTCCCTTCCTTTCATCCTTCCTTTCCCTTCCCTTCCCTTCCCTTTCCTTCTTTCCCTTCCATTTCCTTCCTTTCCCCTTTCCCCCTTCCCCTTTCCCCTTCCCTTCCCTTCCTTCCCTTCTTTCCTCAATGCTCATGTCTTAATTCAGCTCCCAAAGTTCCTTTGTGAAGCATCAGGGAACACAAGGGGGCAATTCCACCCACAGCCCTGCCAATTCTGAATTCCTAAGATTGGCTGGGGGTCTGGCAGAATTACCCCCCCCCCGTCTGCAGAGACACATCCTGGTGGGTCAGTGTGAAAACAGCACATTTCAATAACTGAACAAGTCCAGGAAGGATCAAATTTTACAACAAGCTTCATTATGCAGCCACATTCTTCTTCACTCAACACCTGCAAATGTGCAATGAATTAATCCATCAGATCTGGGAGTCAAGTCCTTGACCTTTCATTCGCATTCCTCCTTGCACTCTTGGTGTTCACGGTTCATGGACGCTCTCATAAAAAGGCTGCCATGGAGGGTACACAAATCACTAATTTACAAGAAGAGAAATGGCGGAGGTCACTCCCTGCCATTCTCCCAAGATCCCTCGGCCAGATGTTCTCAACTACCTCAATTTCCTTCAGTCTCTTTCCTGAGCAGATGGGCACAATTCCAGACAATGCATTCGAGTTAAGTCACAGGTCATGTCCACTTTGTGAAAAGGCCTCTGGAGGCTGTGTGGAACCGAGAGGTTCTCTTGGAAATAAAATACCACTTTGCTCTGCAAAGGCAGATTCCATTTATCATTGTTTCAAAGGATAGGATAGGATAGGATAGGATAGGATAGGACAGGACAGGACAGAATACCAAATAACAAATGGCTAGTGAAATGGAATTAAGACCTTCACAAAGAGCAGCCATAAAGTAAGTGAATCACAAAATCCTAAACTTGGAAGAGAACTTTCTGCCTGTCCAGTCAACCCTCTAATCGGAGCAAGAATCCAAATTACCTACCTGCAAGATGACTGCTCAGTGTCTCCTTGGACACAAAGAGGAGCATCGGCTCTTTGGCCAGTGGCTTCCAGCACCAGACTTCCCTTTTTATTAAGAAGTTTGTTCCTAACGTTCAGTCAGAACCTGCCTTCCCATTAAATTATTTTTGAATATTGCACCCTAGGTTATCCAGAAAGGGTCTTGATGTCCTTTTGTGTGGTGTCTTTCGGGTGCTTGAAATGCTGTCTGCATTATACTCCCCTTCAGCCGTCTTTTGTGGGGGTGAAATACTAGGGCTGGGCATGCTTCAGAAAACATTCAGAAGAGGCGGGCTGCAGCACCCCTATAAAATGGGGAGATGATCGCCAACCGGCGTGTATTTGGGAGAGTGGCGCCCTTCTGGGGCCACGGGATCCCCTCGTTTGTAACTTTCCCAGCTGGCTTCTAATAAGCAAAGTCAGTGTGGGGAGGCAGACTCACTTAACGACGGCATGCTTCACTTACCAGTTGCAGTTATTTGAATAGCAACTCTGGCAAAATGATCATAAAATGGAGTGTGACTCACTTAGCCGCCTTGCTTGGGAATGCACATTTGGGACTCAACTGTGGTCATAAATCAAGGACTGCCTGTATCATGGGAAGAACATCTGGAGAAGGATGTATATGAAAAACACCTAGAAAACAGGACACCTTTATTAAGAAAGTCTAATAATTGGGAAAATGGGGAAAAAAACTAAGAGGGACGAGGAGAGAAAGGAAGAAATGGAAGAGAAATAATAGAAATTAAACAATGGAAATGGTGCTACATGTGTGAGAAAATGGTTTTAACCCTAGCTTCCCAGACGTGGGCTTAGCCCTAGATTGCAAGTCACCTCACGCCTATCGCTTTATCTTCACTTGCTTGACTTGGCAGAAGTTTCACAGACATGGCAAAGAAGGATAAAAGTCATTATTGCACTGGAAAAAAGAAAGTAATGCTAAACATTTGCTTTCCAGTGATCCTTTTTTAAACCTCAGAGGTCTAATCTCATGGCTTCTCCCTCCCTCCCTCCCTCCCTCCCTCCCTCCCAGGCCTGGTGCTGGCTGGCCTTGAAGCCAGCCAGGGGCTTTGTTGACATTGGGGCCAACGTCAGCCTGGGGACTGGTAGTCCCCACCTCCCTCCCGATAGAACTGGCCGTAGTCCAGCCTGTCTGGACACAGACCTCCTGAAGGTTTCTGGTGAGTAGATGGGGCTGTCGGGCAGGAGAGCGACGGCCCCGTGTCTTCACTCATAAGACCTGGGTTGCAGCTAATATAGATGACTGTTTATGACGGTTTACTTCTCTATTTTATTTCGTTTGCCACATTTAATTCCATGTTTTTGACCATGGGGTGTTCACTGAGAAGCCCTTAATATGTGGCGACTCCATAGTGCCATAACTCCCGCTCCAAGCGACACAATCCGTAGCTGCAGGATTTGGAGTGCTGAGTTTCTGCCTCACTTGTTACCTGTAAACTCTCCCTTACAGGACGAGGGAGGCAAGGGATATTATCCAGTTTCCTTCCATCACTGTTTTCCTTCTTACAATTTTCATCTGCTCCCCAATTTGACCCAAATGTTCTGATAAAAAGCACAAATCTTAAAAGGGCAAAGTTAATTGCTGTTGTCTTCTTCCTTCCTTCCTAAGAGCCAAGCTCTCAGCGTGCCCATGGAACCTAACAGGGGGAGATCTTGTTTTTGCAACGGTGCCAGTGCCCGGGGGCAACCCCGTCCAGAACAGAAACAAGAGAAGGGAAGTTGCCCCCAACGACGCTTCTCACCTGCTCCAGTCGAGACGCCCAGCAGTCGACAAACATATTCCAGCACACTCCAAATCACGGTTTGTTTCATGCTAGGAAGGCCTGCAGAGCTCCTGAGATGGTCCCTCCAATCTGTTCAGAGGGATTTCAGGAACAGCCGAGGCTTTCCGCAGCAGGGCTGAGCCTCTTCCTAAACTAAAAGCACATTAATTCCAAAACTCCACAACCAGACGGCACCCTCTTTTACCCTCTTTGGACCAGTCAGAACTGCATCTGAGGGGCTCCCGGTGACCTCTTCGTGCTGCCATTTACTCCTTTATTTCGGAGGGCAATTAATGATTACCGAGCAGAACAAACACATCAATTAATGCCTAAGGCTCTTTGGGTGGCATTTCAGTGCAGGGCAAAGCTACATGGCAGCGCCTGGAGGCCCTGGAACTCTGAGCAAGGCGGATTAATTGCTATGGAGGAAATCAGGGGCTTAAGACTTTGCCCCCTCTGTGTGAAAGTCCTGGCCCCAAAAGTGGCTAAATAGCTGAAAAAAGCTACTGTATTTTTTAGTAAGCCATTCCACTGATTCATTGTTCTCCCTGTGAGGAAATTTCTCCTTAGTTCCAGGCTGGATCGTTCGTCAATGATCTTCCATCCATTATTCCTTGCCCTGCCCGCTGGTGCTTTGGAGAAAAGGTTGTCCCCCTCTTCTTGTGGCAGCCCCTCAAACATGGAACGCTGCTTTCACGCCACCCCTGGCCTTCTCTTCGCTTGGCCAGGCAGGCCACGTTCCGTACTGCAACCGTTGCACTGGTCACTAGCTGGTTTTAGGTGCAATTCCAGAGGCCGTTTGTGGTTTGAAAGACCCACACAGCTCAGGACTTGCTTATCCTGGAGACCCCCGAATGGCAGGTAACACCTGCCTATCCAGCTGAGTATTCGGGAAGGATTCCCTTCAAGGCCCAGCTCCAAATCCCAGGACAGGATTTTCCCCATGGCTGGCCTGCTCCTTCTGAGCCGAAGCCTCCCAAACTCAGACTAGCACCACCTCCGTTGAGGTTTAGGAGAGTCCTGAAGACCTGGCTCTCCCAGAAGAGACCGTGATGTGGTTGGGGCCTCTCCTGCCTTGAGCTAAGATGACTGCATCAATGTGGGGACTTTCAGCTCTTTGGCGTGCTGCGATGTTATTCTTATGTTTGCTGGGTTTACCGTTTTAATCCTTTTTACTGTAAACCAGGAGTGTACGTCACTTAGAACCGATTGTATTGAAGTGGGCTGTAATTCTAAATAAATAAGCATAATTCGATATCCATGAAGTCGCTCAAAGTCAAGCTTGACTTGAAGGAAGCTTTACTTTTGCTAAACACTGTTTACTTCCTGTACTCTGTGCATCAGTGTAGATAACTGGAACGTGGACTTTACATGCTAACCATCTTCCTGGTTTTTTTTTTTATTAGACTTTTTGAAAGCAACTGTCCATTTTTCTTCTAAAGTTCACAAGCCTTTATCTGCCCCACTTGTTTAGGCTTCTGATCCACAATCCTGGCAGAATTTAGTCCCCAGGCCTTCCTGATTCAGCTCACCAAGAACCGCATCTCTTCTGCCGCCAGCAATTCATCACGCAGAATACGCAACCTCTGGTCTCTGAAATGCTCTTTCTGTAGCAATAAATATCTAGCCAGGTTATATTGTTAGCTCGTTCCCACATGCCTCACACCTAACCCATTTTATGTTTATCTCTCCCTTTTTTAAAAACTTCTCCCCCCAGACAATAATGCCACCTACTAATAGATTTATTATTCCTTCCTGAGATAACACAGGATTATTTTTGCTGAAAAGACTAACATGGCAACTCCCTTAGAAATTATTTATGGTTGGTATTTAAAGGAATTCTGTCTCTCCCTCTGTGACCTCTCTCCTCACCCTATTCCCTCCATGTTTGTAAAATGTTCTTCTCTTGGGGCTACTTTGTACTTCAGATAAACTAGACTATCATCTACCAGAGTTTAAGTGCCAGCAAAATCAGGCCATTTTTAAGCTGCCACTACACATTTTTATTTATTTGTGCATCTTGGAAAGCAGAAGGAAGTTAGTTCTAACCACGTGTTTAAAGAAGACAACATCCAACCTGTGTAGGGGCTGGGCTGTTTCAAGGTGCAAAGCCCTCACCGTGGAAGAACCCTTGGAAAAATCAACTGTGGCAGGTACCAGAGTGGAGTTAGAAGTCCAGAAAGCAGAATCATTAACAAGACCATATCAAGGTTCAGGAAAATATATTGGCAATAAATAAAATCAAAGGGCAAGAATCCAAGGATAGTCCAGAGGTGAGCAACATAAACCTCCCAGTTACCTGGACCCCAAAACAGGGTCCGGATCACTGGAATCCGGGGCCAGAATTGCACACAACAGACGTTAAGTCCTTAAAGCCGCCTGGGAGGGGAAAGACGGTCCTGAGGGGGAGCTAGGAAAAGTCCCCCGGGGACCCGGCCAAAATCAGCTGCTATCTGCAATATTTTATTTATTTCCCCATTCATCACCGCCGCTCATCTCACGGCACAGGCGGCTCCGGGCGGCGGCCTCGAGGTCCCTCCTCTCCCGTCTCCCGCCAGTGGGACGCCCGCGCCCCCTCCCGCCAACGTGGCCCGGAGCCCCCACGGGCGCAGCAGCCCCTCGCCCGGGGGGCCTCCTAAGGCCGGCTCCGCGGCGCAGCTGGCGGCTCCCAGCCGCCTCCCGTCCGGCCAGCGCCCCGGCGCTCCTGCCCGGCTTTTGCGCGGCGCCCGAGCGGCCCGGAAGCGCCTCCCAGCCGAGCCGGGGCTCGCCCGCCGCCCTGCCCGGCCCGGCCCGGCCAGGGAAGGAAGAGGAGCGGCGGCGGCGGCGGGCATGGCGGGCATCGGAGGGGCGCCGGCCGGGCCGCGGGTGCTGGTGGTGGGCGCGGGCGCGGCGGGGCTGGGCGCGGCGCAGCGGCTGCTCGCCTCCCCGCGCTTCGCCCACCTGCGCCTGCTGGAGGCCTCGGGGCGCGCCGGGGGGCGCATCCGCAGCGCCGCCTTCGGTGAGCCGGGGCGCCTGGCGAGTCTCCGCGGGGAGGAGGAGGAGGGGGCGGCCGGGTAGGGGCGGCGCCGGCCCCGCGGAGCCCCTTCCGAGGTCCCTGGAGCCCGGGCGGCGGGGCTCGCTTCCCCTCCCGGGGGCGCCTCGGAGCGCGCAGGACCCCTAAAGGCAGGAGGGCAGAGCCGGGCCGGGCAGGGCGCGTCTCCGGCTGCGGAGATCCGAGGGCAGCCGCGGCTCCCTTGTCCCTCGGCCGCCGCCCGGAGCCCCAGTCCGGCCGAGCTGCCTGCAAGCGCTGAGAAGGGGTGGGGGGGGGGCTCGCTTGCAGCAGGGCGCGGGAGGAGCAGGAGGGGCGGCGGCCCCGGGGCTGCTGCGGGGGGGTGTCTGCCATCATCCCCGGGAATGCCGCCCTTCCCGGTGCAAAGGGGGCGCAGAGCCAGCCTCGGCCTCTGCAAGCCCCGGCCTCTCGCCGAGGATGGGGGGAGGCAAAGCTGGGCTGAAAGCTGGGCTGCTCTCCGCAGGCAAGGGCGTGGTGGAGGTCGGGGCGCAGTGGATCCACGGGCCCTCCGAGGGGAACCCGGTTTTCCAGGTGGCCTCGGAGGCCGGCTTGCTGGACGAGGAGGCCCTGACGGAAGAAAACCAGCGGCTGGAGGTGCAGGGCCACCCGGTGGGGCCCGTGGCCTGGTACTCCAGCCAGGGCCGGGAGCTGAAGGCCGAGCTGGCCGAGTCCATGGGCGTCTTCTTCGCCAGTCTCCTGGAGGAAGCGCGCCAGTTCTTGCAGGCGGACCAAGTGCCGGTGCCCAGCCTGGGGGAGTACCTGAGAGACGCCATAGCCAAGAAGCTGGGAGAGTCGCCGGAGGAGGAGGAGACCAGGCGCCTCAAGTTGGCCCTGCTCAGCGCCTACTTCAAGATGGAGTGCTGTGTGAATGCGACGGACAGCCTGGACGAGTTGGCTCTGGGGCCCTTTGGAGAGTACCTCATGCTTCCTGGCCTGGACTGCACCTTTCCCGAGTGAGTGCTCCCCGCCTCTCATTTGGAAAGAGAAACAGTGAAAATCCTGCAGTTCTTTCACTCCCAGGTTTTTAGTTGTCCTGGAGACTCCCTTGCTCAGAGGGAGATGTTGGGGTTTAGCTTTGGAAGGACAGGTGAGCCCCTCAAAGAGACCCCTGTTTTTGCTTTGGGGACTTTCGGTTAAGTCCGTGCATTTCAGCAATTCCTTTCTCTGCCTCATGTCTTCTGTAATCTCTCCTCTAGCTGGAATTTTAAGGTTTATTTCCCTAGCGTGTTCTCCTGGTTCTCCTCTTTTTTGTTTTTTTTTATAGAGGGCAGCTTGGATTCTGAGCTTCCAATATAATAAGAAGAAATCTGCACCGAAGTACATTTCAGGCTGCCTAATTTTTTGTGTGTTCCTCCTAGTGGTTTTCAAGGCCTCACGGACCACCTCCTGGCCTCTCTCCCCAAAGGGACGGTGCTGTTTGATAAGCCGGTGAAGACAATTCATTGGGGAAGGTCCCACTCGGAAGAGGCCTCCACAGGCCGGTTCTTTGGCGTGCAGGTGGAATGTGAAGATGGAGAGAAGTTCTTAGCAGACCACGTCATCGTTACGGTGCCTTTAGGTGAAATCTAATTTCGGTTTATTGCCATTTTGTGTCAACATTTTTCTGCGCTGCAGCACAACAGATTGACTTTTGCTACCTGGTCAGTGTGTTGCTACCAGCTTAGCAAGCAGTCATCTGGAGAAGGCCGCAGGAGAAGGAAGTTACTTAGGACACCGTTAGTCTAGCTCTCGAATTTGAGAAAGTCAAATTGTAAGATTATTTGTTTACAGTTATTTGTGCATCTTGCCTCAAAATGGCAGGGACCGATGCCATCCGTATTAACTAAGAAAGATTCAGTGGACCACACAAAGTTGAATCAGTGCAGAGTTCGTCCCCGACATGTACATTTTCTTTAATGTCACTTTGTTGCTTTATTAAAAAAACGTATATAATTTGCTTTGCTTATAAAAGCATGTTCAGTGTATAACATTGGAACATTTTTATTTAAACACTAATTGTAAATATATTTGTTGAATTTACTTTAAAATGGCTGCAGGTATGCCTGCGTTTGGGTGCATGTGTCAGGCTGCTGACACATGCACAAATTAAAAGACTGAGAAAAAGGAGGCAGACAAATTAAAATACTTAGTTTTCCACACAAAATAGTGTTGAGTCACTCTTATTTTTGATATTTGAAGTAGTTCTCTGGCCTTCATAACTAATGAATCCTAAAACACCATCAGAGAAACTAGCAGTGGGCTATCGTATTACCTTGGCTTCAGCTCCTGCATTGTTCTTGAGTGTTTCCTCAATAAATTTGTTCAATGAGGTCTGGAGGCTTTTCCCTCAAATTCTGATTTGCTCTAATCTGGGCCATGTCATTTTCCTCTTTGTAGGCTTCCTCAAAGAACACCAGGAGTCCTTTTTTTGCCCTCCTCTCCCATCCCAGAAGGTGGAAGTAATACACCGTTTGGGTTTTGGGACCACCAATAAAATTATTCTGGAATTTGAGCAGCCATTCTGGAAGCCGGATGTCGAAATAATTGAGGTGGTGTGGGAAAACGAGTCCCCTCTGGAGGAGCGTCCTGCTGACTTGAAAAACACCTGGTTCCAGAATATTGCCTGCTATATTGTTCTCCAGCCACCTGAGAGGTAAGGGGTAGAACGGGGGGGGGGCTGGAAGGGGCTTCTCGGGGAGGGAGGCTGTCGTGTGAGCCAAGCTCTGTTCCTGCCTTGCAGCTCGAGCAGAGTGGCTGGCTGGGCTGAGCAAGAATAGCGAAGAAGTCACACTAGTCTGTGACCCACAATGACTTTTGCAAGCTTTGCACCGTTGCTGTCCACCTGCTGATGTTATTTTTGTAATAGATCTTAACTAACAACTAGGAGGAGAAATTGTATTTATGTATTATTTATTAAGATATGTATTTGCCTCCCACCCGTCAGTTAAAATTGAAGAAGCTTCTTGGATGAGAAGCGAAATGTTTTAAAAGAAAAAATCAGAACAAAAATCCAGTTTCCTTGTGGAAACTTACTTTGCGATGTTTTTCCTCCCGTCTTTGTCTTTACAGGCACGGCCACATACTTTGCGGCTTCATTGCTGGAAAAGAATCTGAATTTATGGAAACCCTGTCAGATTCTGAAGTTCTTACAACTTTGACTCAAATATTTCGTAAAGCAACAGGTATGTAGTCTTTCTGGGCAAGTGCTGGATCATGTATAACCATGCCTTAGTATTACTATTATTATCTTTTAAATTATATGCCAGCCATTTCGCGGTTGGAGGCAACTCTGAGCAACTACCTCAATATTCTGCTAAAAAGATGGGCCTAAATTTTCTACAGTTCTGCCCGATTTAGGAGAGAGAGAGAGAGGGAGGGAGGGAGGGAGGGAGGGAGGGAGGGAGGAAGAACCATCCATCCTGCCTTCCCTGAACATCACCATTTCCTAGTGAACTCTGTATTATCAGATTGGTGGGAAAGGTGGAATTCAAATGAAATAATAATAATAATGATGATGATGATGTTGGAAGGGACCTTGGAGGTCATCAAGTCCAACCCCCTGCTCAGGCAGGAAACCCTACACCATTTCGAACAAATGGCTGTCCAGTCTCTTCTTAAAAACTTCCAGTGTTGGAGCATTCACCGCTTCTGGAGGCAGGCTGTTCCACTGGTTAATTGTTCTCACTGTCAGGAAGTTTCTCCTTAGTTCTAGGTTGCTTCTCTCCTTGATGAGTTTCCATCTGTTGCTTTTTGTCCTGCCTTCAGGCGCTGATTAAAATGTTAATTTGCTTTGTGTGTTTGTGTTTTGATTAGGAAATTCACATCTGGCTCCTCCAAAGAACATACTGAGGTCCAGGTGGCACAGCGAACCTTACACCAAGGGGTCCTACAGCTACATCGCTGTGGGAAGCTCTGGGGATGACATTGACCTACTTGCTCAGCCCCTCCCTGAGGAGGCCTCTGATTCCAAGGTGATTTCATGGGGGGTTTCTCAGCCTCGGCCCTTTCAACATCTGTGGATTTCAAATGTTACATTGGCAAAAGAGTTTTGGTGGATAAAGAGTTTGTTTGTTAGATTTTTATCCCACCTTTATTATTTTTATGAATAACTCAGGGTGGTGAACATACCTGATACATCTTCCTTTTCCTGTGTTCCTCACAACAACAACAACCCTATGAGGTGGGTTGGGCTCAGAGAGAATGGCTGCCCCAGAGTCACCCACCTGGCTTTGATGCCTAAGGTGGGACTACAACTCCTGGTCTCCTGGTTCCTAGTCTGCTGCCTGAACTACTACAGCAACCTGGCTCTCTGCTTGAGTCTCACAAGCCAGTAAATGGATTGGCTGATGATTCTTGTCGATGTCAGGGCTGAGCATATTGTTCAGTGTACACACACCACTTCTGCAGAAATAGATCTGGAGTAGTTAAATGATAAATTAAACTGAGAAACCAGATTAACAACTTCAGAAGCACCAGGAAAGCCATCAGATCTGTGTAGGGCTTCAAGAAGTAAAGCAAGACTTTGCACTTGATCCAATATTCTGAAGCAGATTTCTGTCTCCAGGGCTTTCCAGTGGGGTACTTTGATCAATCCCAATGCTTGACAGATCCCGGAGCCTAACCAGATATGCCTGCCAGTTGTTCACCGTGACTGGATTGAGTTACTCCACGGCAACCCAGGAGTAACTTTGCCCTCTCTCTCTTTCTACAGATTCCCCCTCAGCTCCTCTTTGCAGGAGAGGCCACCCATCGCTCCTTCTTTTCCACCACCCACGGGGCCTTGTTGTCCGGCTGGAGAGAAGCCAACCGCCTCATCCGTCTCTACGACTCACTCCAGGCTCCGTGTGCAAGGCTGGAGAGTAGCAGTTGACCACACGGCACCTTTTTCTGTGCTGGTTTTCTCACCAAAGACCAAGAAACAAGTTAAACTAATTAAACAAGTTAAACTAATTAAAACAATTATTTTACTTAGTCTGATAAAGGTCCAGGAATCTTTGCTCCCCAAGTTAATGACTAGGAGTATTTTTGTCAAGAGGATACAACACTAATATCCCAATGGTGTGCCTTATTCCGTTTAAATAACCCTCTGCTCATGTTGCTGTTTCTACCTCATCTACCCCTAGAACAGCGGTTCTCAACCTTTGTGTGACGGCGACCCCCGTCACACCGGTGTGGCGCGCATGCGCGGTGGCGCCCCCATGCACGGCGCGCATGCACGGGGCTGCCCCCATGCACGGCGCGCATGCACGGTGCGCATGCACGGCGCGCATGCACGGCGCCACCCCGAGGGGGAAAAATGGCGGATCGCGTTGTTTGGCGACCCCCGTAAAATGGTCGTTCAACCCCAAATGGGGTCGCGACCCATAGGTTGAGAACCGCTGCCCTAGAATCTCCTGAAGTCACCACATCCCATGGAAAATGAGCTGACACCTTTAATTGCACTGGCTAAATTTGCACAATGCATTAAGCAACAAATTAGCAAATTTTTGGTTTACTCAGCCATTGGTATATAAAACCATATTGGGAGTTATTTGGCCTTGGCTACATGAAAGATCCAATCCGTATAGCTTGGTCTGTTATATCAACAAAGCAAAATGTGATGACGTGGTAAGTTATGAATTTGCATTCTGCACGAGCCCACCTACTGTATTAAATGCACTTTTTATAATACTTCCAGTATGCTGCTGAGACCCATCTGTCAGTTCTCCGTTGTCTTCCCACACTGTGCTGAGCAATGTATGTGTCTCTGTGTTGCTTAATCCACTGTATGAATCCAGGTCTTTGTAACTACAATCTGTTGGAAATATCTTCATGGATTATAAAGCTGATTTGTTTTGAGTGAAGCTCTATTTAACATTAGCCGTACTTATTCACCAGTACAAACTGCAGGTTATTATAAGCAAGTGTTCTGCGCCTTTATGACCGTATAGGAACAGAAAGCCTGGGAATCTCTCTTTGCATTTACATGGCACGCTTATCCACTCCCAAATAGTTTTCTCAAACCAATTTTCTGGGTTCATGTCACCTCCTGAACATAAATTAACCACATTGGCTAAGTCCATGTAACTTTACTAGAATACAGTGTGGCTGACCCATTTGTAAGCCTCTACGCTCATTCCCTCCAACCTCTGGTGACTTCGGGGGGGGGGGAGATCTCTGTATTCTTAGAAACAGGATGAACCCAGTGATTGACTGCTGCCTTCCGGGATGCTTTTTGGGGTCTTCTCCTGGTATTGAAATTTCTTGCTGCTCTCCACATATTAACTAGGCCTTCTAGACCTGTTCTTACAACCTAATGTTTACACAGACACACATGCTGCCTTGGTCACCCAGGATATTGTCCACAGACCTCCGTTCTTTTTTCTCATTCAATGTAAACTCTTCTAGCAAAGTTGATTGAAAGAAAATGTGGTCAAATACGATAAAATGTTCTGTTAATATCTGAAATATGCTTTCGTTGCTTTTCCCTAAACTCACATGATTGTATTTTATAAACCAGAACCTTGTTAGAAATTCTGGTTTTCAGAAACTCAGTTGTGGGTCCCATAATTCCAATGACACATGCTTCAAAAACTGTGGTGTAGGGAGTAAGATGGTGACACACATTCATTAATCATCTTTTTAATATTTTATAATGTCATTTTTGCTTAATCTTACAACGATAATAAAAGTTATAATCATTGTCCACTCAGACTTATAAATATGCAGAGAGAAAAGTCTTTTTATGCCAGGTTCAAATTCTTCAAAGTGTCCGGAATAAAGTTTAGACTTAGAGTATATTTATAGAGCGTATTCTTCTCATTTGGAGAAAAATGAGAATCCTGTTATTTCTTATCAGTCCTTTTGCAGGACAAAAAGTCTTTGGTTAGGTCTCCAACTCCAATCTTGGAGTAGATGTGCCTTAAATATTTGCTCTATCATTTTTTACATTTCTCAGCCTAACCTTAGCTGTATTCACAAGGCACATTCAGCTGCATTTTTGTTTGTTTTGTGCACACCCAGCCCAGAGTTTATTGCCCACATGGCACAATGTGTAAATCCATAAAGTTGAATTTTCTGTTATTCAGCTAAGGTAGCCATGCTTAAGTGCACAGTGTAAATATAGTCAGAATTAAAGCAGCAGAAAAAATCTACACCTGGTGATTTTAGAAAGCCCTGGATGATCAGCCCCTACATCTAAAAAAAACCCAACAACCATCAGGTCCAATACACTACCAACACCATCCACTGCCAGGTGGCGGCTGGGAATTGATATGGGAAGTTAAGATTAAGTTAAACACAAACAAGCAAATAGCACAAAAGCAGCCTGTGCCCAGGAAAGCCAGTCACGGTTGCCTATGTTTTAATAACAGCCGCCCATCTGGAGCCTGTCAAGAGACGCGTCTCGGAGCCTCAGGATGGACGCTGGGCCTTTCCAAGGCCGTCCGGGGTGCTGCCCGGTCAGGCAGCCGCTAGTACCAGTTGGTGCAGCAGATGAGGAACCGGGCGTCCTCCAGCGGGGCCAGGAGCCAGGCCTGGCAGTGGCCCCTGGGGAGAGCGGCTTCCTCCTCGGCAGGCGCGGGCGACAGCTGCCCTGGATCGGCATCTTCCAGGATGGGCTGCTCCTCCTCCTCCTCCTGCTCCTGATGGGGCTGGGCTGGATCCAGCTCAGCTGCTGCTGCCCCTGCCAGGGGGTCTCTGTCCTCGCAGGGGCTCATCCCGGGGGGCTGGAGAGAGGGAGGGAGGGGGGAGGTTACTCAGGGGGATTTTGCAATCCTGGGAGTCTCCCGAGGGGACAACGATGGGCCTTTGCCCCACCTTTGAGGTGGGTGGGTAGGTGGATAGATAGATGGATGGATGGATGGATGGATGGATAGATAGATAGATAGAGGGGGAATGGACGGACGGATAGATAGATGAACAGAGACGGACGGACACAGAGAGACAGGCCGATAACTCAAGCGGGGGGGAGGGACTCGTCCGGGACTCCTGCCCCTTTTTCCTCACCCCAACAGCCCTGCGAGGTGGGCCGGGCAGAGAAGGGAGCGCACCGAGGTCACCCAGCTGCTTCCTGCTCCCCGCGGCCCCGTCCCGGGAAGAGCCTGGGGGGGCTCGCAGCGCTCCGGGGGGCCACCAGGAGGGCAGGTGGGGGGGGTCGAGCTCCTGCCCACGGGACGACGCGCGTCAGCCACCCCCCCGAGGCTCGTGGGGCCGCGGGCGCCGGAGGGCAGCCTCACCTCCCCCTCCCCCCCGGGGGGCTCCTCCGCTGCGCCCTCGCGCTCCACGGCTGCCCAGCGCCCGCCGCCGCCTCCTTCGGTCACCCTCCCGACTGGGCGACTGAGCGCCGGCCACGCCCTCCCCGTCGTGGCGTCACAAGCGCCCCTCCTCCGGTGGGGGCGGGGCGTCCGCGGGCGTCATCCAGGTGCGTCCGAGGGGGTCGGTGTCGTCATCTGAGCGCGCCGGCCCCGCAGCCTTGGTCCCCGGGCGGCGCAGGATGCGGCTGGCGGCTCTTTTGCGGGCGGCGGGAGGCGGCTGGCGGGAGCGCTTCGAGTGCGGCGGCCGCGACGTGGCGCGCTGGTTCCCCGGGCACATGGCGCGAGGCACGGGCGGGGAGGGCGGGCGGGGAGGGCGCGGGGCCTCCTGCTCCGGCGGGGCTGCGGCTGCAACGAGGACGCCTCTTTCCTCCCGCAGGGCTGAAGGACATGAGGAAGACCCTGCGAGCCGTGGACGGCCTGCTGGAGGTGCACGACGCCCGCATATCCTTCCGCCGGGCCCGCTGGGGGGGCTTTGCTGAGGAGAGCGGCTTTGAGGGCGAGGAGGTCCCCGCTTGCAGCGCGTCCGTGGAGCCTCTTTGGCCCAGCACGCTCTACTCGAGCCTTCGCCTCTGCCTCATGGCCGGCCGGGTGATGCTGGCACAAGGCAGCCATTCCATCCGGTGTGGTGTAAGGACTCCTGCCTTCGGGGCTGGACTAGAGGACCTCCAAGGCCCCCTCCAGCCCTAGGATTCTCAGGCTATTCTATGCAAACAATCGGGGTGCATGGAAGTGTCTTGCTGAGACGATGCACTCGAGATCGCTGACCAGCCTCCTTCCGTCCAGCCACCAGCTCTTCCCCTGCTGGCCTGGCTGTATGGGAGACCGGAAGGCTCGTTTCTACATAAATGTATTTTTGGACCCCTTTTCTTCCCTAATGGGAACCTTGATCGCTCAGTCTGAAAGAGATCACGGCATGGATTGAGAGGCACCACCCAAAGCACCCAACAGATGGATCCTGAACACACACCGTTCCTGCTCTCGAACACCAGCTCCATCCGTGCCATGCCATGGGGCGGATCCTCTGGGGGCTTCCTGTGTGGTCACCATTGCTCTGTCCACAAGAGAGGCATCTCCTGTCAGATGCTGTGGGTTGTGCTGTCTCTCAGCTGAAGAACAGCCACAAAACCCAGCAGGCAGATGGGCAGGATCAGAGACCACCCAGTTGCAGCCAAGCAGATCACATGCCCCTCCTGCATCATCTCAGTCTTCCTCTTCCAGATACCCTAGATTGTCCACGTACAATATTTCTGGGGGGGCAAAACATCACTTCTATACCAGAACACCTGGTCTGCCTTAGCAGTGGGGTGAGCAGGTCATGGGAACGTGCCCTTGGTAAACAATAAGTAGCACATCGTATTGCTGGGAAAGGAAACTGTGTTTATAGGCTCACAATCAAGCACTTTGTTCAGTTCTGACTTCCAGCCCTTTTTTTTAGAAACACCAGCTGCCCTTTTCCACGGTTTCCCCAGCTTTTTAAGTTGGTGAGGCAGGATTTACCTTTGTGGGATCCATGCTGATTTTCTATGAACAAAAACTGTTCTTCAATAGGATTGCGGTAGTTGCTTTCTTCCATTGACTCCCATTTCTGCCACTTTGTTTAGAACAGACATTAAGCTGGCCAGCCTATAATTTCCTCTGTCCTTCCCAAGTTACGAATTTGAAAATGGTAGGAGTTGGGCTCTGGTGCTGCCTTCACCTACCACTTCGTTTTCCATTTAAAATGCAGTCTTTATTGTGCATCTGGATTGTGGGCCTTGGTTTCCTTAGTACATGCACATTCCGCTTTCCGGGCGGAATCCTGTCTTGAACGAGGTCCTGGGCATCCGTCCACATTTGTTGGTGTTGAATAAAATGGATTTGGCAGATCTGACCCATAAGTCAGTAAGTAGAATCTTGTCAGTTTTCCCTCTTACATTGCAGGCTGCACCAGAGTTTGAAAAACGCCCAAATAAGGATATGGGAGGGGGAGTCATTCTTTTAGCTTAGACAGGAATGTTGGTCCTGCCAAACATTTCATGCTAACTTTGCAGTAGGGAATCTGAATTCTTGCTGTTTTTATTTTGTGTCTGATGTTCAAATTTCAGGTCTGCTTTGGCCTGTTTGATAACACCTGGCTTCTTCATCAGGCTCTTGCCTTATTGATTAATTAAGAGATTAATTAGCCTCTTGCCTTACTAATACATTTAGTAAGGCTGGGCGGCTATGATATATCTAAATTATAATAGCCACACTAATACTTCTTGTGAATCTCTTTGATGTACTTTTAGAGAATTCTGGAGCTTTTGGAACAGCAAGGTTTGCAGCACGTTGTCTTCACCGACTGCTTAACAGATGAAAATATCAAGAAGGTACAATTCCAACGGGCAACATTACATTCTATCATGATGAGGCTGGACAATGAGAGTTCTTTATTCTAGAACCATTCCCCCTATTCATTGAAGGATAAAGTTGGTACAAAGGAATTGTGGAGCTGAGCAGCCATTTACATTTCTTGAATGAATGAATGAATAATTGACCTTGGCTCTAATCGGTTTTACCTCATAGAAGGGCTACGGGGGAGGGAGGGAAAGAGAGAAAGAGAAGTAGGCATGTAGCCTTATTTCCCCCTTCCAAGAGCAAAACAGACCTGCAGTTCCACTGAATCTGTCTTTTCTTTTATTGTAGCTTATTCCCATTCTCACAGGACTGATCAAAAACAGTCAGCGTTATCAGAGGGCAGAGGTGAGTTAAAGTGAACATTCTGAATAACAAAAACATTGCTGTGCTTTTCCTTCATATTTAAATAACCACTTGGTTAATAACAAAAAGGATTATCCTGCTCTTTTCTGTGGCAATGTTCCTGATGTGTGGAACTAGATCATTTTTAGGGGGATTTATTAGCACTCCATTGTCCCCTGTAGGGGGGGGGAGAGAACCACCCTGGACAAGGCCCTGCAGCTTTCTTGGCTGGGCTTCCCAGAAGTGGTTTGTCCTGGCCTCCTTTCCAGGGCTGAGAGAAGGTGGCTGGCCCAAGTTCACCCAGCTGGCTTTGTGCCTAAAGTGGGATTAGAACTCACAGCCTTCTGGTTTCTAGCCTGATGCCTTAACCACTCTGCCAAACTGGCCCTCTCTATCTCCTGTAACTTTAGATAACCCTAACCTGAAGATCACGGGCTCACTTTATTCAGGATGACACTAGTCCTGTCAGCAGGACTTGATGATCCTTCTTTATTTTCCTCCCTAAAATTAAATAAAATGACAAATAATTGCCTGGACAAAGAGAATAACGAATCAAAGCAGACTTTTCTTTAGAGGACTCATGCTTGCTCTATATAGTATATACGCCTATTAACAAATTCCTCAGAGAAATTCTAAATTTTAGGTTAACAAATTATTGAGTATTAGCCCCTTTGGCTTCCATCTTTTCCAGCACTTGGGAATATCTCTTTTTGAAATGCAGATTTCATTAAGAACAGACGTTCATGCCTAACCGATGTTCAGCGCAAAGGCTCCAGCACATACAGAGTGGGCTTTTGTAAGTTGCGCCTTTCCAGCCTTATAAGCATCCCAAAAGAGAAGAAATGTTTCCTGGGGTTGGTACAACCCCAGGTTTCAACCATCGCTGGCCTGAAGTTAATGGGATCCTAGATGTTGAGAAGGATGTTTCCATATGTGTCCCTCTGTAGGAATCTGTCAACAATTGGGGCTGCCACCCCTGTTTCTTTTCTTTCTGGTCCATGCCAAATGTGTTTTCAAGGTTACTTTCAATTGTTTCTTATTGGTTCCAGAATGTGGATAACAACATCATGGTAATCGGTGTGCCAAATGTGGGGAAATCCTCAATCATCAATTCACTGAGAAAGCTTCACCTCAGAAAAGGTATTTCCTGTGACTTCTGATCCCAAACAAATCGATACATTTAAATGGAACATCCAGTGGAATTGGTACACAGTCGTGGTTATAATCTGAAAACAGTGCTGGTCTGGTTCAACTTTGCAGAATGTTTCACATTAGTGATTAATTCTTTTGAAATACTTCTTTAAAAACCCAGTTTTTAAAGTAAGTTCTTGGAAGCCAAGGCAAGAGCTGTTGGAGTGCTGCAGTTTTTCAGAAGTCTATCCAGCAGTGGTGGAAAAAACAGTCTTGACATTCGGACACGCGGGATGGGCATCCCTGCTTGGAAGAAATGGATAACGGGGTTGACCTCAGGAGCCAAGTTCCGCTTCTGGTCGTGGTCAGTTACTGACCTAAAGCAAAGGGAGAGTTAGTTCCTCAGACAGTGACAACGGAAGATGCTAAGCGCTGCCATCTTCAATGCACATAATTGTGTTTTTTTTTCTTCCTTTCTTTCCCTGCAACAAAGGAAAAGCCGCGCCGGTTGGTGGGGCACCCGGTATAACCAAAGCGGTTCTGACCAAGATCCAGGTAATCCAATGATTTCTGTGCCAAATGGAGACAAATGTACAGATTTGGGTTCTTATCTGAAATATTGATTCTTAAGTAACGAACCCTTGAATACAGGGCAAGGCAGAGGGTGTCCGAAAGAGCTGGTCATTTTCAACAAAGTTTAGTAGATGCACCCTGTTTCTCCTCCATCTTCTCTCTTGCCACTGACCAATGGTAGGGTTGATGTTCTTAGTTGAGTGGCTTCTTGTTTCCTTCCCATTAGAGAGGACTATCTGGAAGGGATAGTGGAGATTAATAGCGTGGCATAGTCCCAACACCTTGGACCTAGAGGTGCATGTCTATATAATTTTAAGATTAAATTGGGCCTATATTTCAGGCTTTCATGGAAATAAAGAATTGCAATCAAATCTGGTAACCAGTTTCTGCATTATAACTGTTTTTAAAGCAATAGGTCTCAAACAATGGTGCCTTATGTCCTGAGACCCACTTTGATGTAGTGATTGAAGATTCTAAATGCTGAGAGTTTAATCCTGTTTCAGGCCTAAAAGTTGGTTGCTCTTACTGGTCATGGTGGGTAATTCCAAAAACGCAAAGGAAATTGATGTCTTCAGTCATCTCTTAAACACAGAGCAAACCGTCGTGTCCCGTGATTCTCTGGGGCAGCTTTTGAGATTGTAAATCTGAATCTGATATCTTCTTACTCCAGGTGTCTGAAAAGCCCCTCATGTACTTGCTGGATACTCCTGGGGTGCTGTCTCCTCAAATTGAGTCCGTTGAGACAGGGCTGAAGCTGGCGCTATGTGGTGAGAGGACTCGGTGTGGTCTTACAATGTGGGGCCAATGTGGGGCACCCCATTTGGGAGGTGGCTGGTAGGCCAGCACAATATATCTCACTTCCACCCCATCTACGCCTTAGTTTTTAGTTATTTTAACATTAATGTTAAGGTTTTAGTTTTTAATGCCTGATGGTTTAAGGTTTGATTCCTATAATTGTTGTCTTCTGTTATTTAGAGTATCTTAAGCTGTCCAAGAGCTGCTAGGTAGAGAGTTGGGGAGCATACACATTTAATAAATAAATCAGATTTAAGGACTTGGACCGGATTCGAGAGAACTAGATTCAAGTTCACCCTCAACCACAAAACCTCATTGGGAGATGTTGGGTTGGTCCTTCTCCCGCCTTCCCACCGCCTCATATCCCCCGTGGAAGCTGTCCTGAGCCCTCGAAGAAAAGGCAGGCCAGGCAGCCAAATGGATTTCTGGAAACGGAGACGATGGGGCTGGTGGGCGAGGGGGCCCTTGGGCCCTGCTGGAGGAGCCCAGAAAGTCAGAAGAGTCGGATTGTTGCCAAGGAAGTAGGCTAGTCGGCCACCGATTTGCCCGGCTCTCTTGACCTGGAATTCTCTTTCCCCACGACGCTTCTGGGCAGCCCTCTGCTCCTTTCGGTAGCCTAACGCTTCCTTGAGTGAAACTTACAGGGTGGAGGATGGGGTGACATTTTATTTATTTATTTATTTATTTATTTATTTATTTATGAGGCTTATATACCGCTTTAAGTGCAAGCACTCTCTAAGCGGTGTACACCAGTAAGCAATGTATATATATATATTTACATTGTCCCCAACAATCTGGGTCCTCATTTTACCTACCCCGGAAGGATGGAAGGCTGAGTCAACCTTGAGCCGGTGAGATTTGAACTGCTGACCTGCTGAACACAGTCAGCTAAAGTGGCCTGCAGTACTGCACTCTAACTGCTGCGCCACCTCGGCTCATACTGTTTGCTGTTTCCGCAGCCCTGGGAGCCTAGTTTCTGCAGGGTTTGCTTGATGTCTGTGGAGTTCAGGTGTGTTGCATCCTCTCCAAATTAGCATCCAGCTTAAGTCTGATTTCCCGGCTGTCTCCTCTATGACTGGAACTCTTTGGGCGTCTGCCCTGCTTTGCCAGCAGGACGACCATCACATTCTCCTGCCCTGCTGACTGTCTGCCTGCTTTTCCTCTGCTCAGGGGCAATCCTCGATCACCTGGTGGGAGTGGAGGTCATCGCCGATTATCTTCTTTACATTCTGAACCAGCAGCAGCAGTTCAGGTGAGAGGGACCCTGGGCTCGGGGGTGGGCCTGGGGGACGCCCTCCACAAGCCTCAGGATCCTCTCCCTCCTACTCTGCAGTTACGTGGAGCGTTACGGGCTGAGTGGCCCCTGCGACGAAGTGGGGAGTGTACTCAAAAGCATAGCACGGCACCTGGGCAAGGTGCAAAAAGTTCAGGTCCTGACTGGCACAGGTGAGTCCTGTCCTCCTGTCCCTAGGAAGCCGGGTGCTTCTGAGCAGGAGGGGCAGATTCCACGGGGGAGCCCAGGGGTGAATGCTGAGCGGGGGAGTGTCAGCTTTTGGGAACCAGATGGGCCTGACCCTCCAGAGACAGGAGGTGTTCCCCCCCCCCAGCTGAGGCTTCTCCTTCTTCTGGCAGGGAATGTGAATGTATCGGTCCCCAATTACAACGCGGCAGCCTGTGAGTTTATCTACACGTTCCGTAAAGGGCTTCTGGGGAAAGTAATGCTCGATCAAGTGAGTGAGATCCTTGAGTGACCTTGCTCTGGAGTTTTCTTCTGGAAAGTTCCAAGGATCTACCAGGACCAGGAGGTAGGAGCAACACTTAAGAAAGGCTAGGCCAGTGTGACTTTGTTGATACCTCTGGGTTAGAGCTGTGTATATAGCGACGGACAACTCTCTGTGCTGCTTTGTGAAGGTGTTTGCTTTCTTCAGAAGCTCAGCTGGGCCGGGCCTTGCAGTATCAAAGTGGCTCTTAGAGCCGGTCCTTTTGGGGGCAAGAGGTTATGCAAGCTTCCCTTGGGAGGGTCTCCCCCTGGACTTTTTCATCGCTAATCCTAGATCATTTCACATCTATTTTCCAATCCTCCATCCCGTATCTTCAGGGCATGGGCACCAGCTTGTCTTGGATGGCAGAGCAATAGCTGGAGAGATCTATTGTTTATCTCCTATTTAAAAAAAAATGAAGCAGATTGCATTGCTTTGATTCAAACCACATAAGCCATGGTTCACAAATGCTACTATTTTAAAATGAAATTAATACGTTGTTGCAAGTTAAATGATTGCTATTCCATGTTTTGTAACAGAGCTGTGTCCCATAGTTTTGGCTTCCCTTTTTGGATATTATGAATAAACAATTTAACTTTGCTCTTCCATGGCTATCGCACCAACTTCCCTCTTGCGAAGGAAGAAAAAACAGCACAACTCCATCAAGCATGCAGAAGACAAAAAGGATAAAACAATGAATTGAACATGTAAAGTGACTCCTGAAGGAGAGAGCAGTGTTCCAATATCTGAGGGGCTGCCACAAAGAAGAGGGGAGGGGGTCAACCTGTTCCCCAAAGCACCAGAAGGCAGGACAAGAAATAACAGATGGAAACTAATCAAAGAGAGAAGCAGCCTAGAACTAAGGAGGAATTTTCTGACAGGGAGAACAATTAACCAGGGCAACAGCTTCCCTCCAGAGGTTGTCAAGAAGAGACTGGACAGCCATTTGTCCCAAACAGTATAGGGTCTCCTGCTTGAGCAGGGGGTTGGACTAGAAGACCTCCAAGGTCCCTTCTGACTCTATTATTCTATTTTCCAAATTGCAGCCCTTTTTATCTCTGATAAAAGTCTTAATTTGCATCAAGTCAGCTTTTTGATTGTCTTTTTCAAGGCAGAGGCCAATACACGCTCTTCTAATCAACGGCGAAATACTATAAAGGTTGCATAAAACAGATGGCGGCTTTCATCTCATGATACTTCCTGTACACATCTTCAAAATGTACAAATCCCCCCCAAATATTCAAAATATCCTGACAAGCAGTTGCTGAAGTCACATCCCAGGGTCCTTCCTCAAAGTCGGAATCCAAGTTGAGACAGACACGACTGATTTTTCTCTGCCAAGAATAACTCAGAATGCTCCTGATGACTCCGGTTCTGGCTCCTGTCATCCAACAGCTGTCAGAAGACAGGCCGTCTCCGGGGGCCTCTTCTGTATGAATGCGGGGGGGGGGGGATAAGGCCCTTTGGCTCCCTCCACTGCAGCTGGGAAGATCAAAGCACTGCCCCATCATTTTTCTGGAGGCAACTGGACTTTCGCGTTTTTTTCCCTTGAGGATGTTTCACTTCTAATCCAAGAAGCTTCTTCAGTTCTGGACCTCTGAAATGAAGAAACTTCTTAGATAAGAAACAAAACATTTTCAAGGGAAAAAACCAAGAAGGTCCATTTGTCTTTTGGAAAAGCACCTGTGGGACCACTGTGACCTGGATGATTGAGAGTCTCCACAGACATCCGAGCCCTGTGGTGGCACAAGGGACGCCTGGCTGAGCGTACGGATTGTAGAAAGGATCTTGGCATCATAAGCGGAGTACCGGTCCCCAGTGCAGAAAGGCTGTCGCATCAGAGTGGCAAAGCACTTCTGCAACTGCAGGGAGGAGTCCGGACGCTCCCCGGGAGTCAAAAGCTGACCCAGAGGCACAAACATACGCACCATCCAGTGCAAAAAAAAGTTTACATTTGCTGCAACGTCTTCACCCCCTCATTATTGGAAGCAAAACCTGTGCATTTCCCCCCAGAACCTCAGAATCCAAAATATCATACGTACAGACCAGGCTATTGTGGTGACTTTTATTAAATGAATTGAACACCAGCAGATAAATGAACGTCAGGAACCATTCCTAGTTCTCTTTGCACCCAGACATCACAGGCGTTGAAATGCATGGAAAAGTTCTTAAACATTTTGGAGTTGATGAATGAGATAAATCAGGGCAAAGGTCTATTCAGAGCAGCATTCTCTGTGACCCAGTATCCATTCGGCTGCATCGGGAAAGCTTGTGTCCAGGGAAAGCTGCCTTGCCTCCTCTCTCACAGCTGCCCATCTCTTGTACGCAATTCAGAATGCCTGGCTTTCAAGTCTAATAGCTCCACAAATTTGTCTCATCCATTTTATAATCATCTCAAGAGCCTTCGTAATATCTGAGGGCAGCAAATGTCATATCAACTATGCAAAGCTGTTTATTGAATCTCCCTACTGAATTTCTGAAAACTCTGGCACGTTTTCAAAAACATGGCGGTCTGGTTGAAGGGACGTGGCCGACCCAATTAGCTGCTTCCCCAAAATGATTTTTTACTGGACTTTGAGGGCAGAAATATCCCAGCCAAAAGGAGAATAGACGTTTTCAGAATCTTCCAGCTGCTGCAAAGGCATTTGAGAAGATTTTCCACAGGAAATTAAAACCACGTTAATGACAACAACAAGAACAACAACAAAAATGGCAGCCTGTCCAGGTCAATGCCCATCCCAACCCTTTCTGCCCTTGACCATCCCCTTCTTCTGTCTACTTGGAGGACGTGGCTGCCTCCGAGCAATTTGGATGTTTGCACCAATACAGCAATTGCCCCCTTCGGCCAGTTCAAAACACAATGCAAGAAGAGTGTTGTGTATTACACGTTTGGCTTCTCTCGGTTTTGGCCAAAAGAAGAGCCACGTGTTACATACCAAACTCTCTCAGTTAGAGGAGGATAAGGAAACGATTTTTTTCAATAGTAGCCTTGAACATGATACAACTGATAATATTCAGCTTTTCTTAGTTGCTCAAGATAGGAGACAAGATATTGTCCCCTCACTTGAGCCTCCCATCTACCTGGTGATCTATAAATTGGCCTCAAGAGGAATGAGTAGCCAGAAATTGCACATAGTTGAGTCCGACTTGAGTCGGACTCTTCCATGTCCAGCACGTTCTCTGTGTTGCCACACCGACTTCTGCGCATCCGTCTGGGTGGATCTGACATGGAATGACTCTGAAGTCAAGCTCCTTTGCTCTCCAAGGCACCGGAGGGAGAGATTGTTCCCTGGAGATCCACTGTATAAAAGTAGCAATAAATTCTTGGCAGAAGGTCTGAAGGCCTTTATGTCTTAATCGTTAGAAAAGAGCTGCATGAAGAATTTGAATACGGTCCACGTAGAGTGGGCAGGGATGCCACATCTCAGAATGTCCACCAGCAGACACCGACCATTAAGTAACCATTCTCTCCCCTCCCCCCTTTGGATTGACTTTAGGATGGCAGTCTCAATAAATAAGTAAAAACTGGGGAAACCAGCCAGGACAGGAGTGGGTTGTAATGTATTTTGGCACCGTTGAGTAAATCGTGGTAGGGAGACTCAGCCCCCCCAGATCGCTTGTGGGGAGCTCAGGGTGAGAGGCCGCCCACCAGAGGCTCTGAACGTCAGAGGGCCCGAGGCACCAGGGCCACACACCAGAGGGAGGCCGAGACGCAGAGGAGGGGCCAGGGCTGGGGGTTGTGAGTGCTCCTTGCGGTGTTGTTCCTGGGCTGCATCTCCCCGTATTCGGGGCTGTCCTGCCCCGCCATGCTCATCCCGGCCGCCGCAGCGGCAGCCGCAGCTCCTCCTGCAGCAGCAGCCGCTGCCACGCGCAGGGCTGTCCCTGAGGATCTGTAACGGGGCGCGGGCTTGGACCGCCGGGAGGTGCCCCGCGCACTCCCCCGGGCTGACCCCCGAGCTCCACCCCGGCCCCCTTTGCAGGCCACGCTGTCCATGAAAATGGCCAGCAGGAAGAGGAGAGTCCAACAGACGGCTGGGCTGCACTTCACCCTCATGGTCTCCAGGAAGTGGGCCGGATCTGCAAAATCAAAGGGAGAGAGGGGTCTTGTCAGAGGAGAACCTGGCCAGGGCTGCCTGGGGGCCTCTGCGTTTAGATTTAACCCAGAAAGCCCGGAGTTTCTCTGAGGGCTGCTGTTGCTTGGAGACTGGCAGCCCTTGGTTTGCCTCGGGAAACAATCTGGAGCTATCCGGTTTCCCATCAGACAAGGATATTCAGAATAACGGAGTTGGAAAAGGGACCTTGGAGGAGGGGTGGTCCAGCCCCCTGCTGAAACGGGAGACCCCCCCCCACACCATCCCAGACAAGTGGCTGTCCAGCCTCTTCTGGAAAACTTCCAGTGATGCAGCACCCACAACCTCTGGAGGCAGGTTGTTCCACTGGTCAATTTTCTATCAGGACGTGTCTCCTTAGTTCCCGGCTGCTTCTCTCCATTGCTTCTTGCCCTGCCTTTGGAGAAACAGGGTGACCCTCCGCCTCTTTGCAGCAGTCCATTAGATACTGGGAGGGGGCTCTCTGTCACCCCTGGCCCTTCTTTCTTCTAGGCTGGCCAAACCCAATTCCTGCAACTGTTCTTCATCATAGGTTTTAGCCTCCGTCCTTTGTTCTCTGCGCTATTTCTAGGGCCTCGGGGTCTTTTTTTCCCCCTATCCTGGTGATCAGAATTGGATGCCGAGTTCCAAGGGCACCGAAGGAGGACGAGGCGTTACTAGCAGTTCACCTGATCTTGGTCCTGCAGGCTGACTGACTGCCCTTCGGCTGCAGGGAGGCTCACCTGTCTGCTAAGGTCTGACTCGGATGGGGTTTTTTTAATGCAACCTAAATATGGTGGCTTGTTTACTTGCGGCTTGGCATGAAGTGTGAACGCATCTCCGTGTAGCCTATTGGGAAGCCGCGGTCAACGAAGCCGATTTAGAGCCACAAGCTCTTAACTTCTGGGCTAGGCTTTTAAAATGATCCCCCCCCTCCCAACGCAAATTTCACCGCAGATTCTGACCTAGTCAAGGGATCGGCCCCCTCCCCCCAAGGAGCACCGGGGCTGGGGGAGGGCTGCCCCCACCGCTTTCCCCGAAGAACCCGCCGCCCCCTCCCCAACGGGGCGCCGCTCCCCGGGGGGGGGGAGGCTGCGGAGGAGAGGGACCCCGAGAGCGGCCGCGATTCTGCAGCTCCCCCCCCGGCCCGGAACCGGCGTTTCCTTCCATCGCCCGGCAGGGGGGAGACGACCCTCCTCCCGCCCCCAGTCCCCCCCCGCCAGCATTAGCGCAGAAGAGGCGCCCCTCCCGCCTCCCTGGGCCGCCCGACGGGTACCGCGCTCCGTCGCTCCGGGCTTTCCCTGCCGCTGCTTCGCGCCGCGTCCGTCCGCCCGCCAGCAGAAGCCGCCGCCGCCCCGACAGCCCCCCGTTCGGCCTCCGGCAAGGCGGCTTTTCGTCACTGCGCGCCCCCGCCCCGCGCGCCCCCTGCGCCCGCTGGGTGGGTGAGCGGGGGCCAGGACGGACCCCCAGCAGGCAGCTCCGCCCCGGTCGGGCCACGCATCGCCCCTGCGAGGAGGGGGGTCTCCCGAGAGGCCGTCCCCGATGGGAGCGGGATTTGGGGCTCTCCCGGGCATCCGAGAGGCCGGGGCTGCCCTCCAAGCACGGGGACCCTCCTGGGGGAGACCAGGAAACCCTGAGAAATGAAGAGCCCCCCCCAATCCTTGGAAAGGCTGGGAACCGGGGCAGCCCCCAATAATTAGGGAGCCGGGATCCTTCTCCCTTTGGGGTGGCTTAGGGGAAGAGCAGGGACCCTTCGGTCTTTCCATTTTAAGTCATTTCTCAGCATTTTAAAATGTGCATTTATTCAGTGTATTTTTTTTATGCGTTGGCCATTCTGGAAGTGTGCCAGCAGGCCAGCATCAAAAACAGCATTTATAAAAGCCCCCCAAACAAATACCGTGAGTAAACCCACCCGGAAGGGCCCAAGGAAAGCAACCCCTTTGTCACCAGGGCACCCCAACGTTCCCAGCAAGCCTCCATCCTGGGCTGGGTGGGAGGAGGGAGGCAGCTGCCAAGGGGGGAGCAGTGACTGCCCCCTTCCAGAGGCCCCCCCATGGCATTCTCAGATGGGGCCACCTGGAGGGAGTTGGCCCCACTCTATTCAGGGCACCCTACTGAGGATAGAAAAACAAGGTTACGATGGAGGCCACCATTGTGCAACGAAAGGCAGGGCTTTGTATCATTGCAGCCAACACCTCGGCTTGCTGACACCCCTGCCCCGACTGTGTGAAGACGGGAGTGGGTGGTCCCTCAAGTGGGGCCACCCAGGGCCTCAGAGGGGGGACCGTCTTTGCATCTTGAACCGCATTCGGCAGCAGCCACAGGCAACCAGGACAGCAACAGTGGGAGCCTTCCAGGGAAGGCAGGAAAACCACCGGGCTTGGATCAGCTGCAGCTTTCGCATGCTCAGGAGCAGCCCCACCAGGAGGAGAGCTCTGAAGGAAAAGATCCCCGTTTCATTTCCCCCTTTGTTCCTCCCATCACCCTCTTCGCCCCCGGAAACCTGCGCGCCTCGCCCTGGACCTGCTCGTTACGCTTTTGAGCTGTTGCCTCAGTCCCAGTTTATTTATGAATGACGCCTTATGCAAGAAGTCAATCAAAGCAAATTGCTGCATTTAAGGACAGCAGCATGTCTATTTCGGTGTTTGGTGACAAGATTGTCTCCCAGAATGATTGCTTTAAGATGAGCCAGCCGTGTGCGGCAGCAGCCAAACAATCTAATGCAATCCTTGGTTGCATAAACAGAGGCACAGTGTCAAGATCACATGAATACCACTTTATAAGGCCTTGGTAAGACCACATCTGGAGCACTGCATACAGCTTTGGTCACTACATTGTAGAAAAGATGTTGAGACTTTGGAAAGACTGCAGAACACAGCAACAAAGATGATAGATTGATTGATTGATTGATGAGACTTATATACCGCTTTAAGTGCAAGCACTCTCTAAGCGGTGTACACCAGTAAGCAATGTGTATATATATATATATATATATATATATATATATATATATTATATATATATATATATATATATTTAGAAATAAAAACAGCTCCCCTCTCACTGACAGCTCCCCTCTCACGGATCAACAACAGACTGATTCCAGCAAGCAACTGTGGCTGAGTGCGCCACGACCCATAGAGAACGGATCATTGGTGGGACGGAATGGAGATGGAGTAGAGCCCGATGAACTGAAAGAAAAACGGAATATAACCAAGCTCAACCAAGATGACGAGACCGAGGACGAACCCCCCGTTGAGGATATTACCACACGCACCACACACACCATGACAACCCGGTCACAGTCGAGTAGAAGAATGCATCCCCCTCGGATACTCCCAACACCAAGTTGCGAGACAAAACAGCGATTGCAGTTAAAGGGGAGGAGCACTATACGGAGTGAGAACGGAGAATTGGGGATGAACGGCAGTAGTGCTCTCCAACAATGGACGGAACAACGAAGCACTGATAACGGAACAACGGCAAGAAACATCGCGACTGCGCGCAAGAGAGAGAGCGTGGAAACGAACAGCAGACCGCTCAGGAGAACCTACGGGAAAAAGGAGGGGAGGAGGAATAGCATGGGGGGGGACTATGAGCTTGTGTTACAATCCCGGGAGATAGGAAAACAGGATCAAAGCAGCCTTGGGGCATGTAGTGATATTGAAGGCAGTGTGGATAATTGCCTACCCCCGCTCACAAAGGGAAGTGATGTCTGGGATGGTGGAGGGGTTACGAATAGGGAAGGAAAAAGGACTTGGGCTTCCAACCCGTTAACAACTAACGAAGCAACATATGATCGAACTCAAACTAACCATGGAACGGAGATAGATGCTGACGTGGGGCGTATGCTTAGGACTCAGCCCGATCAGCTGGGGCCTATGACGCGCTCCAGGAGCCGGAAACAGGCATTAAACAACTGTATATAAGACTCCCCCGTAGTTTGCCTTTTAACCCTGACGATGTCAAGTGTATTTGACGAAAGCTTGGTGGATTAAATTTCTATTTTTATAGATATTCTCTTGGTGATCGTTATTTGGACAATATATATATATATATATATATGTTTTCTGAGGTTTACCTCCCGCCTACCAGCCATTTGGAAACCTGCCCTTATTGACAAACGACTCCCTAACCCCAAAATCTTAAACCCCTCTGCAACTCAGACTAACCTGAGCACAACCAAACAGAACACTCCCCCAGCCAATCAGAGCACAGCCAAGCCCCTAACCATTCAGAACACACCTCCACCCAATCAGAACACAGCCAAGCTCCCACCCAATCAGTTCATACCCCCACTGGCAGTTAAAAGGAAGAAACAGCTAAAACCACACATTGCTGCTCAAAGCAAGAAGCTAAAAACACCAGCCTGAAGATGACGAATGTGACTTCGTCGAAACGTTGCCAAGACACTTCCAATTTTACGCGGGAGAAAACCCGAACAACCAAAGACCTATATATATATATATATATTTACATTGCCCCCAACAATCTGAGTCCTCATTTTACCTACTCCAGAAGGATGGAAGGTTGAGTCAACCTTGAGCCGGTGAGATTTGAACCACTGACTTGCTGAACACAGTCGGCTAAAGTGGCCTGCAGTACTGCACTCTAACTGCTGCGCCTGGAGGCTAAAACATAGGAAGAATTGGGTTGCAGGAATTGGGTATATCTAGTGAAAAGAAGGACCAAGGATGACATGGCAGCAATCTTCCAGAATTTGAGGGGCTGCCACAAAAAATAGGGGGATCACCCTGTTCTCCAAAGCGCCTGAGGGCAGGACAAGAAGCAACGGATGGAAACTAATCAAGGAAAGAAGCAACCTAGAAATGAGAAATTTCCTGACTGTGAGGACAATCAACCAGTGGAATAGAAGTTGCCTCCAGAAGTTGTGGGTGCTGCATCACTGGAGGTTTTCAAGAAGAGCCTGGAGAGCTACTTATCTGAAATAGTGTAGGGTTTCTGCTTGAGCAGGGGGTTGGACTAGAAGACCTCCAAGGCCCCTTCCAGCTCTATTCTCCATAAGTGATGAGTAGAATATGCAAACAACGAGTGACGTAGAGTTTGTTTCCACCTCAACTCTGGTTTAATTAACAGCTGGCTTTTCAAGAGTTATGAGGCAAGTAGCAAAAGGCAACCCTTTATGGCTGCCCACTCAAGTTCAGTGACTATAGACGGCTTAACAAAAAATGATGCACTTCCTGGCCTTTCCCCAAGTAGAAATAAAATGTAAAGATCAAGTGTTTGGCTTTGGGCCTTAACACGCAAGCATGCCTCGCTGAAAGAAAAAGGACCCAGAGCTGCCGGAATAACGGGGGGGGGGGGAAGCAACGTCAACAGACAAAAAGGGAAAATTGAAGCGCTTGATAAATGGACTAAAGCGGAGGATCCAGGAGGCCGCCAGATGGCGCTATTCCACCACGGTTAAAAGAAGACTCCGCCGAAGCTCATCCCAAGGGATCGAGGGTGGATTCCCAATCTGGGCTACGCGTGAAAACTTTTTTTAAAAAGCCCCACACGGTTCCTGAGTTTATTCAGAAGATCGAAAAGCAGAATTTGCACAGCGAGGGGAAAAAGCCCGGAAGGCTCTTTGCCTTCATTCCTCGCCCGCACTTTGGGAGACGGCCGGGGTCTCCACCGACCGCCCTCCGCTTCTGCCCCGGAGTCTCGGGCGGTTCCTTCCACTCCGCCGGGCTGCTCGGGGAGGCGGGCCGCGGCACGGGCGCTCAGTCGCACCGGGGGCGCCCAGACGGCCGCCCGTAAAGCCCCCTCCGGGAAGGAAACGCGCGCGGGACGGCCTGGGGGGGGGAGGGTCGGGCACGGAGCGCTCCTTCCCACGGCAACCCCCGGCACGACCTCCAGCGCTGGACCCCTCGGGGCGGCGGGCAAGCGGGGAGGCGCCCTCGGCCAAGGGAGGAGGGGAGCCCGGACGGCCAGCGGGCTTCTCCAGTCTCGCCCCGGGTTCCGGGCTGCGCATCCCCCGCGCGGAGGGCGCTCCTCGCTCTTGCCCGGGCGCCTGGCGCAGTTCGGGATGGGGCGCTGGGAGCCCAGAGTCCGTCTGGCTTCGGCGACTGGCGGGGGCTCCACCGGCGCTGGGAGAGGCGCCTCGGACGGGCTCTCGGGGGGGGGGGGAGCCGCGTATGCGCCAGGCAGGCGGGCCCTGCAGGCGGGGCGGGAGCTTCTCTGCCGGAGAGGGGAACGGTCCCCTCCGCCGCTGCCCAGGGAGGCTCCGGGAGAGCCCCCTCCGGGGCCGGGCCGCGTCCCTCTCCGCCCGGCCCCGGAAGAGGCGGAGCGGCGTCGGCGTCCCGGGCGCGGGGCCTCCTGGGCCGGGGCGGGCATGGAGCGGCTGCCGGCGGGCGCGGCGGTGGCGCTGCGGGGCGGCTCGCCGGGGGCCACCGGCTGCGGGCCCTGGGAGATGCGCGAGCGGCTGGGCAGCGGCGGCTTCGGCACCGTCTCCCTCTACCAGCACCGGGTGGGCGCCGCGGGCAGGGCGCCCCTCCGCCTCCCGGGAAGGGCGGGGCGGCTGGGGGGGGGAGGCGGGCGGTGTCCCGGGTCCGCCCCGGCCGGCTTTAACGCTGCGCCCTCCGGCGCTTCCTTCCCCTCTTCTGCCCCGTCCGCCCCGTCTGCAGGAGTCCGGCGCCCGGATGGCGGTGAAGGCCTGCCGCCTGGAGCTGAGCGCCCAGCAGCAGGAGCGCTGGCGCCATGAGCTGCAGATCCTGCACGGGTCCGTCCGGGGCTGGGGGGGAGGGCAGCGGGTCCCCTTCCCCAGCCGGATGCCCCGCAGACCTGGGCCCTTCGGGGGTCCCGCCTGCGCTGCACCTGGCCCGAACCAAGCAGGCGGTGGGGGCCGGGCTCCTTCTGTCCCCCCTTGGAGACTCCGGATGTTAGTCTGATCCTGACCGTTGTTTGTTTGCATCCCGCCTTTATTATCTTTACTAATAACTGACCCGCCCAGCCCTCCTTCCTCCTCCTCCTCTCCGCACCCTGCGAGGCGGGTGAGGCTGGGAAGGAGGGGCTAGCCCAAAGCCACCCAGCCAGACCTTAGGACTAAGGCAGGACTAGAACTCACCACCTCCCAGTTCCTATCCGGGCGCCTCCACCACCATCCCCAGCCACCACCACCCCTTTGCCCTGCTTCATGGGCTGCCTCCTGCTTTCCTGCCTGGGCTCGGAGGCCTCCCGGGAGCCTTTGCGGGCTCTCTAGCAGGAGGAGCCCCTTCTCCAAGGCCCCTCTCAGGCTCCCCTTCCCTTCCTCTCCGCAGCTTGGATCACCCGAATGTGGTGAAGGCCCTGGACCTGCCGGAGGAGCTGGACTTCCTGGTGAACGCCGTGCCCCTCTTGGCCATGGAGTACTGCTCCAGAGGAGACCTCAGGAAGGCAAGGCCCCTTTCCCTCCCCCTCCCAGGGCGGCAGGCTGCTGGATCCACCTGGGCTGCTCGCCTCCCGCTCGGGCTGCTACCTGCAGAAACCCAGGAGGGACCCCCCCCCTCAACCCCACTCGGAGGCTACCGGAGCCCCCTTCCCACATGAGGACGTCCGGAGGGTGTCCCCACCAATTTGCCCCTGACAGAAGGGAGCCAAACTCCTTCGGTTCTCTCCACGGCCTCTAAAACGTAGAAGCAGATAAAACTGCACTCGGCTTCCACTCTTCCGGGGCTTCAGGCAATCCCTCCTTTGAGGTCGGTTACCAATTTTGGGACCCGGATGTTGAGCTGCAGAGCCAAACTCCGATGGCACCGGGGGTCTCCCCCTCTTTTGTGCTTGGCCTTGTAATTGTTCATTATTTCACTCCCTTGACGGTCAGCCCTCATTTTCTTGGCACAAATAGGGGCTGCGTTCTCCAACACAGAGCTTGCTAGTGATGTGTTTTGTCCTTTGAGCTCTGTGTATGTTGGTTATTAAATAGAAGAGTCGTTCTAACCTTCCTATTATTGCCACGGTTACTCTTTTAGCTGCTGAATGCGCCTGAAAACTGCTGCGGTCTTAAGGAAAGCCAGATCCTTTCTGTGCTGAGTGACATTGGTATGTCAGCTGTCCTTTCCCACCATGAAGTGATTTAAAAGTGTTTTGTTTCCCAGTCTCGTTATTGTGCCTCAGAGTTCATTTAAAAAGCCCACCAGTTCTGAATACGTATAAATAATTAATCTTTATTTGTTTAGAGCAGGGGTAGGCAACCTTGGCTCTTTTGTGACTCGTGGACTTCAACTTCCAGAATTCCTGAGCCAGCATGAGGGAACTGTGGCTCCCTCATGACTCGTGGACTTCAACTCCCAGAATTCCTGAGCCAGCCTGGCTCAGCTTGGAAACCTCTCCCTTCCCCCTCAGCGTGGCTGGCTCAGGAATTCTGGGAGTTGAAGTCCACGAGTCTTAAAAGAGCCAAGGTGGCCTACCCCTGGTTTAGACCACAGGAGGGCTTTGGGACAGAGCTTAGAGCATATTCTGGATTTTCCACTGTTGTCAAAAGCCGAATCAGAAAGTGTCTCAATTTTTTTTTCTAAATGTGTGCATTTTTTCCCCATAATTTCCAGGATCTGGCATCCAGTATTTACATGAAAACAGAATAATTCATAGAGATCTTAAACCAGAAAATATTGTCCTTCAGGAGGAAGCCGGAAAGGTAAGTGAAACACTCCGGGCGTTGCAACAATGAGCTTAGAAGGCTGCGGTTGTCGGTTTCTTCGTCAAACTGTTCCACGAAACGGGCCACGGAAAGGGGAATCGTATCCCTCAGCAGGCTCCCCCCTGCCCTGCCCTGCTCCCTCCCCACCTCTGCTGGGCCAGGCCCTGCTAGGAGGAGGCCCCCGAGGGGGTCGGAGGAGCCAGGCCCTCCTGCCTTTTGGGCCGGGCCTCCCTCGCCTTCTCCGCCCGCAGGTCCTTTCCTCCTGCTCTTTTGAACCACAAGGTGCCCTTGACTTTGGCCCAGTCACCAGGAGGCCCTGAGTTCTAGTCCTGCCCTAGGCACAAAAGGTGGGTGACTTTGGGCACTCCCTCTCTCTCTCCCTCAGCCCGGCCCACCTCACAAGGTTGTCGTTGTGGGGAAAATAGCTGGAGGAGGGAATATTAGGTATGTTTATTGTTATACCCACAGTAAAGGTGGAATATAAATAAATCAAGGTCCACCGGTGATGGCTTGAGGAGCTGGTTCTCCAACCTCAGAACAACATCTAAAGCAGTGATTCTCAACCTTTCTAATGCCGCGACCCCATAATACAGTTCCCCATGTTATGGTGACCCCCAACCACTTATACACCACCAGGTGCCAGGGGTGTGGCCAAAGAAAAGGGGGAAAAAATGGCGGACAGCCTTGTTTGGCGACCCCGTGAAATGGTCGTTCGCCCCCAAATGGGGTCCCGACCCACAGGTGGAGAACCACTGGTCTAAAGGGACATTTCAGCTGCCGGCTCCTTCCTTCCCATCCAATCAAAGCAGAGGCTCTCCCCGTCTCTCTCCCCCGTTTCAGAGGCTCAGCTAGGGGGGAAAAATGGAGAGAAACACCCATTTCTCAGTGAAGCAGCTCAGGTGAAAAAACGACTTGCCGTGTGATTTCATTGCCAGGTAATCTACAAGATCATAGACCTCGGATACGCCAAGGATCTGGATCAAGGAAGCTTATGCACGTCTTTCGTGGGGACCTTGCAGTACCTGGTGAGATTTGAGCACAGATTGCCCTCGTTCTTCTCTCTCTCTCTCCGGGGGGGGGGCTCTGTCAATGATGCTTCTCCCCATTTCTGCTGTTTTGTTTTAGGCCCCTGAACTCTTTGACAACAGCCCTTACTCCATGACGGTGGACTTCTGGAGCTTTGGGACGCTGATCTTCGAGTGCATTACGGGCTTCAGGCCCTTCCTGCACAACCAGCAGCCTTTCATCTGGTGCGTTTCTCTGGCTCAGTTGGGGGAGGGGGCAGGGCGGACACGGCCGGCACGTTTCACCTTTGCCAAAGAGCTGCTGGTTTCTCTGCACCCCCAGGGACACCCAGGCAGCCTCAGGAGAGGCAGCAGGGAAGGAGATTCGGTTCTTTCTCCCCCAGTGTGGATCCAGGAAGAGCTTTTTTAGGGGAATCCCAAGCTGAGCATGGCTCTTTTGGGGAGGGGGAACCATCCATAAGCAAGGGGTCTTCTGGAGGTTACCCATCCTGCTAGAGGCATCATAGGCTCTGAGATACCAACTGTTTTTCCTTATTTATGTGTCTGTGTGTACATGTCTGTCTCTGTGTGTACGTATGTATATGTATATATGTTAAATTTGGATTGCCAGCAAAGAGTTAAAGGGAGACTAGTATAGCTATTTCGAAATGATTTGTTGCAGTAGCGGAGGCTAGATTGGGACTGATAAGGGCAAAAGCTTCCTTCCCATATTTGGGTAGACAGGGTGTTTCAAAAAAAACAAAAACCACTTAATATATATATGTGTGTATATGTGTATATGTGTGTGTGTATATATATATTGTGTACATATATATATATATATATATATATATATATATATATATATATATATGTATACCACACACGTACATATACATAGACACACACACATGGGGAGAGAATGCGAGAGAGAGAATATATGTGGGCTCAGCTGCTTAATTTATTACTTTCTAGTCCTTGATGTCCACCTTCCTTGCTCTTTTCCCGTAGGCATGAAAAAATCAAGAAGAAAGACCCCAAATGCATTTTTGCATGGGAAGAGATGACTGGGGAAGTTAGATTTAGCGCTTATTTGCCAACTCCAAACAGCTTGTGCAGGTAACATTCATTCTCTCTTTTCTCCTTAATTAATAGAATTCCTTCCTGCATTAAATCCTCCCTCCCTCCCTCCGTTCCTTCCTTCCTCATGGAAGAACCAACTCCTCCAAATCCTTTGAATCACCAACAGGTCAGGGGCTATTCCACTTTCATGGGGGGGAATGCCTCATTCCAGAAGGCAGAGCCACAGAGGGAGTCCCCGTAGATGCCCTTGTTTAATCAAAGCCAGCGCTGGGGCACACCAGTCCTGGCGGATCAAAAGCTCCCAAGGCAGATGTTGTGAGGGACTGGCAGCCCTTCAAGTAGCCAGGCCACGTGTGAGGCAGGATGGTGGTGGCCCATCCGATGGGCTGATGCTCTTATTTCGTTTTATGGCTTAGTACGATTGTAGAAACCATGGAGCACTGGCTTCAGCTGATGCTGACTTGGGATCCACAGCAAAGAGGAGGCGGGATAGATCCCAACACAAACGGCTACAGATGTTTTCAAGTAATGGAACAATTGTTAAGTCTGAAGGTAAGGGGCCACGTTACAAACTTCAGTCAAAAAGATTGATTACGATTACAATCGTTTTATAAGCTTTCATTTGCTTCTTTTATTGAATCTCCAAATATTCAGAGCTGGTGACATCAGGACAAAATAGTCACCCTTTCTCCAAGGAAGGAAATTAATTAAAACCCAGTACACTTTTATTTTTGAAATAACACTAACATGATTAGAAATTTGGGCAAGAAACTAGTTGTTACAAAAAAAAAATCCCTACTGCTTCGATCATACTGTAGCTTTTATTTTATTTTATTTTATTTTGAGCATCTTAAACCTGTCTCCTAAATTCACGGGGGCTGGTAAAAAAAATTTCAAAAATAAACCGCTTTCAAATATTGAGTATTTTGCTCTTTCTTTGTGGCGTTTTGTTTTCAGATCGTCCACATCCTAAACATGACGTCTGCCAAGATCCTTAGTTACGCTCTGCAGCCAGAGGAAAGCCTTCATTCCCTGCAAGTTCGAATTGAATCTGACACTGGAATAAGCTCAGGAAACCAGGAGCTTCTCCTTGAAATGGGGAGCTGCCTGGACCCCCGGAAGCCGGCCTCTCAGTGTGTCATCGAGGGCGTAGTAAGATTTCTTCTCAAATCCTGTTAAAGGGGGTCTGCTAGGGGCACATCCTTGATAGGACCGTTCCTGGCAGCCAGGCAGAACGTGAGGATTTATGTCACACCAGTTTCCATAACGGTCCAATTTGTGGGGATGGCTTGCTCCCACTTATTTTTATTCCCTGTGAGGCTTTCCATAACTAGCTCTGGTAAAATGCATCGTTTTCTTCCATTAAATTCCATTTTTGCAAGGCTACGAAAGGCTGCAAAGTTTTGACAGAATAAGTTAGTGTTTGCAAGGCGGAGGCATCTTAGCACCTCTAAGTGCTTGTTAATCCTTCAAATAAATCGCCTACATCAGAAGTAGCTTCTTCCAGCTCCTTTTTTTAAGACTTGTAAATTTTTCACTCCGTGAGTGTGTATGTATCATATATATGTATGAGTTTATTCATCTATTCTCGCATGCTATTACTGCTTATCTGGATTATTGGTACTTTCTCACGGTTTGCAAGGAAATGTTTTGATTTGATAATTTCTCCTCTTTGCCAGAAAGGCTGGGATAGCTACATGGTATATTTATTTGATAAAAGCAAAACTACATATGAAGGCCCTTTCGCTTCTAGGACGCTTTCTGATTCTGTAAATTATATTGGTAAGTTTGTCTCAGTTTAGTAATAATTGTTATTCTAAGATTCAGCGACAGCATATTTAGGAAAAATATTCTGCAATCATCTTTGAGACCTTATTAAAATATCAAAGTATAAAAAACACTAGCACTAAATCAGTCAGAAGAATGTACAAGCTTCTGCTCCTGACCCATTCATCGTTTTCTTTGAATTTGTAAACAATCGTGTGCAAATTGTAAATATTGAATTGCAAAAATACATCATGTTCAACTCAGTAATAAGCAGGGATTGTGTCAGCTTTGGTTGCATCACAAATATTTTTAAATTCAGTGTCTCCCTCCCTTCCCTTCTTCTAACTTCCCGTTCTTAGTATACTAATAAGGATAATAAGGCCATTATCTTCTCTCAGTCAAGGACAGCAAAATTCAGCTGCCCATTTTCCAGCTTCGGAAGATCTGGGCTGAAGCCGTGCACTACGTCATTGGCCTGAAGGAAGACTACAGCCGCCTCTTCCAGGGCCAGAGAGCTGCCATGTGAGTCCCAGCTGCCCCTGAGGAAGCCCAGCGGTTGGGAGGGGCTCGGACGAATCCGACCAGCAGCCCTTCTGCTGTTTCCTGTGGCCCCCAGGGGTAGGAAGGGGTATCCATTGGGAGTCCCAAATAGCCATAGCTCTTGGGCTTATATACCGCTTCAAGTGTTCTACAGAGTCAGCCTGTTGCCCCCAACAATCTGGTTCCTCATTTTACCGACCTCGGAAGGACGGAAGGCTGAGTTAACCTGGTCAGGATCGAACTCCTGGCTGTGGGCAGAGTTAGCCAGCAATGCTGCACTCTAACCCCTGCGCCACCAGCGCTCTCTATCCATGTATGTTTATATGTAGTTATGACAGAGATTAATGCAAACTTCTCTCTGTCCCAATTTCCAGGTTGAGTCTTCTGAGGTACAACACCAATTTAACCAACAGGAAAAACAACATGATCTCAGCATCACAGCAGTTGAAAGCCAAACTGAATTTCTTCCAGCAAAGTATCCACCTGGACCTGGAACGTTACAGTGACCAAATGACCTACGGAATCTGTAAGCCTTTGGGCCGGTGATGGCCCCAACGTGCTGGTTAACTTTTGGGGGAGCCACCGCTCAACCTCATTCCCCCCCCCCCATCTCTCTCTCTCTCTCTCTCTCTCTCACACACACACACACACACACACACACACACACACACACGGAGGGAGGGGGGAGGGAGGGAGGGAGAGAGCGCACGAGCGCTTCTCTGGTGCTGGCCATCCACATTATTGGGATCAAACAGGATCTTATAGCTGAAACTGTTTGTCAGTCAGTTCATCTTCTTAACCATCTACATCCTATAACTTTCCTAAATCCAGAAATCCAGATCCTTGTTTCCTACCTCTTTCTTGTCTGAAATGTACAAAATATGTTAAAATAGCTAAAATCTAATCAAAGGGATGAAGGAATCCAGGCTGAATAACAGCATATCAGTGAATATAAGTTGTTGATGGTGGAGCCTTTATTGGCCATTTGCAAAATTCATCAGTATTGCTACTTCTGTTGGAAGCATTGTTTGTTTCACAACAAGCGTTGCTCATTTTCCGAGAAAATGGTGTCTTTAAATTAACTCCAGTGTATTTCTTTAAGCCTCAGAGAAAATGTTAAAGGCTTGGAAAGACATGGAAGAAAAAGCTTCGTTGTGCGAAAAGGTATGGGTCAAAAGCAGAATGTATTCTTTTAAACCTATTGTTTTTATTGTTCTTGTCCCCGTGACCCTTATTAAAATGAATCTTTATTTTTGAGATAGTACCTTATCCACGTACAGATTTAATCAAAATTAAATAATTAAAAATGAAGATAAGAAAGTGATCAAAACCTTTTCATTATCCAAAGAAGAAGGCATTGCTTTAAATCCAAATTTATTGTTACTGTTATGTATTTTTTAATTCTGAGACAGCAGCTCACGAATAGGGAAAGAACAGGAAGCTAATAAAAATTAAGCATCCCTTTCTCGTTCTGCGTTTCATTATCACTCATCTGGCACTATCCTCAAATAAAGCTGCCCTTTAGAGTGTGCTCAGCCATGGGGAACATTCTCCCACCATCGTCTCTCTGATCAAAATGGCATTTAGAAGCACGCTGCCCCGAACTCAGAAATAACCCTCAGTCTGTGAAGAAGACCTTCTGTTTTTCCAAGGTCTCTTAAATTGAGAACATTCAGATCTTTTCCATTTTTACTGTTTATTATTCAAAATATAGGCTATCTAGCCCTAGACCAGGGGTAGGCAACCTTGGCTCTTTTATGACTCGTGGACTTCAACTCCCAGAATTCCTGAGCCAGCATGGCTCAGCTTGGAAACCTCTCCCTTTCCCCTCAGCCTGGCTGGCTCAGGAATTCTGGGAGTTGAAGTCCACCAGTCATAAAAGAGCCAAGGTTGCCTAGCCTTGCCCTAGGCGCTACTTGGTGTGTATATTTCTCTACCTTAGCAATGGTTAAGACCTGTGGACTTCAACTCCCAGAATTCCCCAGCCCGGAATCCTGGGAGTTGAAGTCCATTCATCTTAAAGTTGCCAAGGTTGAGAAAGGCCGCTGCAGGGCATCTCCAGCCAGGGACCAGCCAGGCTCCATGGGAAACCCCGGCGAAGGAGGCGCCACGTGGCAAATCCTTTTCTGCTGCCCGACGGGAAGAGGCATCCAGTTGGATGATTATATTCAGGGTGGAAGAAAGATCCCAACGTTGCCTTCAGTCTATCAGAGAGAGGGACTTTTATTTCCCCTGTGCAGGTGGCAGATATCGGCTCCCTGGATGAACAGATCATGGCGCTGCACACCGAAATTGTGGAGCTGCAGAGAAGCCTCCACGTGCGACGTCAGAACGACGTCATGGAAAATCTGTAAGAAAACAAACTTTCCTCAGTGCGCAGTAGGAGGCTTTTATTATTATCCTATGAAGCATCGTTAATGGCACCCTAGCTAATAAGCCTTGCCTCTGCCCAAAAACGTTATAAATAAATGGAGCTGTAGACCTAAAATTTCTGTCTCTTGATTTGGCCAGGGTCACCCACAGATACTGCCCCCATAATCCCCTGCCTCTCATGCGGATGCACTCCCGTGTCGCCAGCCTTCTCTGCTTGATTCCACAAATTAGGTCATCAGTCACGAGTTACAACTGTGACGGGCAGGCTCCATTAGAATCGTAACTCAAGGACTACCTGTATTTTTTTTTAAAGTATACAGTATTTATATTTTTAACACAATTCTTAAATTAGAAGTGGAACTCTGTGCCCACGTGTTCCTTTTTCGTTGAGTTGCAACATTAAAATTTACCATGGTACTTACTAAGTGGCCCACCAAGTTGGTCTGAGTGGAAAGCTTGCCTGAGTTGAGCGTGCTAAACGTTTACAAACAAAACATCATTCAGCCTTAAGAGCATCAATTGTGGTTTTGCTGCTGCTTCTCCTTGTGCACAAGTGTTCCTGGACAACGATAAAGAGCTTCAAGATCTTCCCCTTAAGATCTACCAGATTAAATATCCCGCCATTTTATTGAGGGTAAACACTTTGACGCTCCCACTCTTACTAACAGAAGTTGATCGTTTGTTGTGTTTGCATTTCTAAACCTCATGAACACCACCACCACCACCACCCCGGCCTTTACGAATGAGCGCTAACCCCAGAGGAGTTTATGTCTGTCTCTCTCTTTCTCTCCCCACAGGGAGCAGAGAGCAATAGAACTCTACAAGCAACTGAAGTCGAGGCCTCCAGGTAGGGCAGAGTCCCAGGGAAGCTGCAGCCGGCATGGAAGGGATGAGGGGTATTAAGTAGAAACGTGGCCAAGGGCCCTGGATGGATGGGCTCAGCAGACTTGGGAACACAAAAGATTTGGTGCACCTCTTAAAAACAAGATGACATTGCTGGATCCTCTGCCTCTTTTTTTCGCTTTTTGTCTTTCTTTACTGGTTTTCTAAGTTTGTAATGGTCATTTCTAGCTGTTCCTGCTTTGAGGGTGAAAATTTAGAATATAGAGGCTGTTCCTACGGTGATGCTGCTGACCCCTATCTAGTCAGATACTTCATCATTCCCTTAAATGGAGCTTTAGCAGTCTCTGGAGCACTTTGGGTTGAGGAAATGTTGAAAGATACGACATTGGAAGTCTTGTTCGATGACTACAAAATTTTATAGTCATATTTACCAGAATTTCTGATGTATCTAACAGTTACAAATATGTTATTCTTGTTATTAAGACTAATTTAGAATAGGAATAGGAATAGAATAGAATAGAATAGAATAGAATAGAATAGAATAGAATAGAATAGAATAGAATAGAATAGAATAGAATAGAAACTGGAGGGGACCTTAGAGGTCTTCTAATCCAGCCCCCCACTCAAGCAGGAGAACCAATATGATCTCAGACAAGTGACTGTCCAGTCTCTTCTTAAAACCCTCCAGTGATGGAGCGCCCACGATTTAAAGCGTATGACTTTTCTAAACGGCATCTTTTGAGGTAAAATTTGGATCGCCCGTGCTTTTTTTACATGGAGGAAGTTTCCCATTGGGAGAGATCTGTCTTTCAGACCACGTCTACAGCGACAGCACAGAGATGGTGAGGATCATTGTCCAGACGGTTCAGAGTCAAGACTGGGTCCTCAAGGAGCTCTTCAGGCATCTGAGGTAATCGGCCGTAATCACACCTAGGATCCCCCACAACTCTCCTTTCCCACTCCTGTTCAGTGCCCAGGGAGCAGGGTGACCATGATCCAACGAAGGTCACTTGGACTTTGGTGCCTCTTCTCTGTCAATCTGCTTCACCTTTTGCCTTTCTTCTCCATTAAAAAGATACTAAAAATGTGATCCTCACCCTTTCCAGTTGTATTTCTAGTTGATCAAAGCTTGTTCAAAGTTTCAAAATATACTTCCTTAAGTTGATCTGCTGTTTCTTGTGAAAGACAGAAACAAGCCTTCTTGGAAAAGTCTGGCTCTGAAACCCCAATGGACAATCCAGGGGCCAAAATTGGCTCTGGAGAATGCAGGAGCCGTAGTGTGTCCTCTCAGAGAATTGGTGAAAAACATCATTGGTATATTTTCCATTTGATTGCCAAAAGGGAGAAACATTGCTGGAAATGATAGACTGAATTTATTAAAGTGTGCAATTTCATTCAATTCACAGTATATTAACTGTCTTTGTTACTAATTTTTAGCTTAATTTTAATAATGATTTTAGGTTCTTAATGTGGTTTATTTATTTATTACTAGTTAATGAATTTTAGAAAACTATCGCTTGCAACTTATTTTAATTCCTGATTTACTTAGCTGAATTATTTATTTGTCTTTTATTCTTTTTTTATGTGTTCTCTTGTATTTGTTCATACACTTTCTTTAAAATGTTCAATAAAGGGGAAAAAAGCAAACAAGCACTGAGACAGAGGGCCACTGAAGTCATGAAGTGCCAAAGCACTTTCTCCCCCCCCCCAGGTGCTTAATGTCTCTTCAAGAGAGCAGCAGTAAATGTTACTGTTTCTCTGAGGGAAACCGAGTCTGAGAAAGTGTTTTATTGAAAAGGTGGCTAAGCACCGAGCCAAAACATTTGTGTGAAAACAATGGAAAAAGAAGGGGATTGAAAGGAGATAGCCAGAGAAATTACGGTGTCTGTTCCCTGGCTGATAACGGAGGTCGCATCGTCCCTAGAAATATTCCTGAATTTGTCCTTGATTTGCCCTGGATGCCCTCGTACCACCGCTGAGGAAAAGGATCATTGCTCGTCTTCTCACGCTCTCTTTTCTTTTTGAACCACAGCAAATTGCTGGGCTGCAAACAGAAAATCATCGACTTGCTTCCCAAGATTGATGTGGCTCTGAACAGCATCAAGGAAGCTGACAACTCAGTCATGCAAATGCAGGGGAAACGGCAGAGGGAGATCTGGCATTTGCTGAAAATCGCTTGCGTAAGGATTGGGATTCCCGCCGGGGAATCAACCAGGCCGTGTTGATGAATATTTCATACAGCCTGTCGACGTTACATTATAAACCAGCATTGTAATTTGTGTACCGGTTTGCCGACGTCACCAACATATAAGCAGAATTTGGTACAAATACTACTTGTGCGGAGAGACATTCTGACAAGTGTGTCTGTTTCCAAAGCCTGTCAGAAATATTTGGCTAACTTCCTCCCTAGAATTCAGAGCTTCGTTGCGTACCATCCAGAAAAGCCGAGTGCAGATTTGGGCAGCACAGGACATGTGAGGGCCACTTTTAAGGCCCCATTTTATATCCCTAAATTAGGCAGGGCCAAGATGTTTCGGCACAAAAGCTCACATCTCAAAATTCGGGTGCCGCTGATTCTGACGACATTCAGATGTCACCAGCCACACTCTTGTTGTTGGTCACTCTGCACCATCTGCTGAGTATCAACCATGAGGGGGTTTGTGCCGTCCTGACCACCTCATTTCCCACAGCTGTTTTAAGGCCTGAGGGCCAGACCTCGGCCACCAGATTGGCCGTAAGACAGAGCTGACCCCGCAGTCTTTAATCCCAGTCAGTTCATTCAACCTTCGAATGCAGCCTTACACAATTTTTCATTCTTGAGTGGCTAGAAGAGGGAAATGGGGCACCATTGATGCCCCCGATGGGGAAAAAGTTCCTCAGTGTCGGGATGTTGCTCTCCAGAGTGCAACGAATACCAAACGAAGGCGGAGCTCGGTCACCTGGACCGGTTTTTCTGCTGGCACCGCAAACCGTGTTCCTCCTGACCCCCATTTACAGCATCCCCCAATCCGGGTCATTGAGAATAAACGCAGCGGCCTTGCAGGATGCGAATCCTCCGCTAAAGGCAGCAGGCATTTCTGTCCTAAACGCCGCCTCCTTTTCCTTGCAGACTCAAACTTCTGCTCGATCGGCCAGCTCCAGCGTGGAGGGTCCCGTCCCGTCCTCGGTGCCTGCCTGGCTCTCCCAAGCTGCTACGGCAACCATGTTGCAGCCTTTGCCTTTTGCAGAAGCCTCTAGAAACACGTAAGAGGCGGGGAAGGCGGCCCTTCCTTCCTGCTTGAAGCCCCCGGCCTCAGGGCTGGCCATTGGCACCCCTGCCAGGGAATGCCCTACGTTAATTAAACGAACAGCTTAGTGAAGAGGGCAATATACCAGTGTTTAACGGTGTGAAAAAGCCATATGCCCTGAATGCACAGTTAGTAGAATAAAGCGTATCTCTATGATGTGAAACTGAAGTTTAAAGGAGAAAAGAATGCTTGAAAATAGGGTCACAACTTAAAAGATTATAATTGCGGGCTTAATTAAGGACTAATTTTAATTCATATCGCAAAATATCTTTTCATCCTCCAAAAAGAAATACCTGGAATTGTGACTGCTTAAGAAAAGGAAGCTCCTGATTTTAATTTGTGTATTTAAATAGTTTCCTTCCTTGTTAGCAGTACTTGGGATAGACGGCAGCCATTTTTGTTCTTTTCCTGGCAGGTTGAATTTTGCACATTTGTTAGAAGAAAATCTAAGCTATCTTGACAGTTTTAGCGCCGTTATACAAGAAGCAAGACACGGCCAAAATAGCAGCATGACGGTGAGTCGAAGCTTCCCTTTGACAGGCGTACTTGCAATAAATAATTCATTTATTAAGAAGAAAAGACAGCCTGGAAAGTGGGTTATTCACTAATTCAGCAAGAGAAACTCATCTACAAATATCCAAGCGGAAACTTTGCATGGGCATTTTTAGAGGGGGGGAGGGGAAAAATAAAGTTGGGGTGATTTTGGGCAGGTTTTTTCCCCCCGTTTCATCCTACTAACTACAAGTGGGGTGGATAATTGATGCATCACTTGATCCTATGTGAAAAATTCTCCACTAGTTTCCTCAAAGGAATTTTGAGGGACTTGGAAGGAATTTTGGAAACACACCAGCTCCGTGAGATGCCAGCAGTGGGACAAACACAATTAACTTTATTTGGTATTTTAAGTGACCTCTTTTGTACAAGAGAATTGTAGAACAGTTAAGAAAACACAGAGATTGTTCCTCAATTAAGAGTTTGGATTTTTGCCCATTTTATGTTGATTACTGCATAACAACACCGAGAGCACTTCGGATTATTGCCCTGTTTTCTTTTGCAGAGCCTCGACTGGAGTTGGCTGAATTAGCGCGTCCGATGTTGCACATCCACATTTGCAAAAATGGGCCTTTTAACCTAAAATACCTCTTTCTTTTTAATGAAAGAAGGACCCAGATCGAAGATCTTGCGTCTTTATCTAGTTCTGGAGGTTGTGGAAAAGTGGCCTTGCTTCTCCCTCTAAAGGAGGGGTGTCAAACTGCCGGTCCGCGGGCCGGTTGCATCACACGGAGGCCACTCCTGCCCCAGTTCTAGCAGTGTAAAAAAACTTGCGATGTATCGCGACATGTCACCTGACGCAGTGAGTTTGACAGCCGTGCTCTAAAGCACCACAGACAGAAGGCCTTCAATCGTAGGATCTGTGTTGCATTTTAATTAAATACCCCCCAAAAGATCACGTAGTATGGAAAACTAAAGAAATGTGCTGAGGCAGAAATAATGGCAAATGTAAAATAAATTATCTGTTATATATTGTATTCATAAAAGAGAATATATGTAGCTCAGGGTTGAATTATGAAGTCTTTGGTGCTCTCCGAGTTTGGTTGTTTTCTTGCAGACCTTTCATGACCCAACTAGGCAATATCCTCAGTGATGCATTGATGATGTTACCTAGTTTGGTCATGAAACATCTGCAGGAAAACAACCAAACTCGGAGAGCACCAAGGACTCCGTGTGGTTTATTACGCACCTTCTGAGCCGTTCTCTTTTCTATGGTTCTTACAGAAATTATTCATAGTATATTTCTAATGAACAACATTGGGAGTAATTTTATAATATATTAAGCATTTGATTGTTTTTTTTTGTTTTTACTTTGAAAATATCAGATACATACCTTCCACTTAAAAACAATAGCTTACAAATGTCACAAATAAAATAATCTCAACAAGTAAGAAAGTCTTTTATGTTTTTTGTTAGAAAATTAGAAGGGGTTTCAAACCGTCTGTGAATAAAGGTAGTAGCTTAATAAGCTAAATAATTCTCTTAATATTGAGAGTAATTTTGCAAAACCCTTGCCATTTTGACTTAATGGGAAGTAAGAATATTACCTGAGGTTCGTGTCAGTCGATGGAGCTAATCTGGAGGGGGTAGTAATTGAGGTATTGGGCTAGAAACAAGGAGCCCCCATCAGGGGTGTCAGCCCTGCGAGGTAGGCCGGCCAAGCAGCACACCCAGAAAAACTCTCTGACTTTACTGTGAGGTTACATAAACAGAATATCTGACAAGTTTGAAAGTACACATCTTCCCCCTTTTTTTTACAACCCAAGAAACCAGGTGGTGAATCCATGTTGTTGGAAGCTCTCCGGGAAGGTTGTGAGTGACATTTGTGCCATTATTGTAAACGCACACCACTTCCCAAGCACCCGAATTCTGATGACGTGACTGCAACAAGTGCGAAGGCCGGTTGTAAAGTCGCTGTTCGTAGTGCCCTCTTCGTAACTTTGAACAGTCGCTGAATGAAATGGTCTTAAGTAGAGCCTCTTGGTTCAAACGGGATAACCTAACCCTTAAGTGTGTCACATAAAGAGACATGAAAAGATAAAACTACAGCATAGATGGAGGGAAAGTTTAATGGCTTCTCTCGGAAGCTTAACTTCATGTAGTTTCTGTACCACTAAAATATTAGATTGGCTTCCCGCAATCTAACATTAATTTCTCTCCTTGGGCTGTCTCTGTCGTCGGTGCATCCTTTCATACACCTTCGATATAAGACGCAGGTCTGCAGCTTCTTTTGAGGGATCAGAGTCCAGTTTCTTGAGTAGCTTCTTCACGTGGGTCAAGATATTGCCGATCTTCTCAAGCAAGGAAGGGCTCACGAGGTGCCTGGTGGTTCCATATCGCTGAAGAACCCAAAGCATCCTTGAATCCTTCAGCTGCAGAAAGCCATTAGGAAAAAGACAACGTGGATTGAGAGAGACTGAAGTATTGGGGGAACCATGGACTGTATCATCATAACATCATTAATCCATAATGTTAATATCAATGCTTCCTTGGTTCGTATGTTTGCTTATATAGATCCAACAAGTTACGTTCTACATTCAGAAGAATAAATACGTGTGTGCCTTCTTTCCATCACCAAAGCTACCTGCTAACCAACTTGTTTATCTTTCGCAACTAGGTTTTTCACACTGACCAAAAGAAAGACTTCATTTTCAAAAGAACTGGAGTCCATGACAATCTGTTGCTGCGACATTTCAGAGGTGAATTTCTAATAGTGAAATAGAAAAACCCGCAACATACATACATACACAAATCCAAAGGGTGGCTATAAAGTGAGGTAAGAAAAGCTGAGTATAATTGTAGTGATTAAGAGAAGAGTGATAAAGAAGAAGAAAACAAAGAGCCATCGAATAACAGAATATAGTAGAATTCAAGTTCATTTCCAGAATTTTTTTTTCAAAGCTTACTCTATAAACAACATCCCATAAATGAAACAAGGCCCTTTTCGATACCACCTTATGAAAGGCAAGAGCCTTGGGATACAAAGAAACATCCAGAAACATTTCCATTACAAATAGGAAGAAAAGATCATTTTTCTCTGCCTCCTTCATAGGAGGTGTGCTCCCTTGTCATATTATTTATTCATCTGTTTATTAAACAAATTTATAGAGCCATCCCACTCACATACAGGGACCCCAGGCAGCTCACAACAGTTAAAAATCCCACCGTGTGATAAAACCTCCATTAAAAAAAGCCCCCCACCCCACCCCCAAGGCAGCAGACACACAATCAAATCGGCCTCTTGATCGGCACTGTTTCCCCTCGGGGTCCCCAGGCCCTTGGAGAAAATCACGTCTTTAGGGCCCTGTGGAGAACCAACAGCAACAGGCTGGGGGCCAGCCGTACCTCACGGGGTATGATGACCCTTAAAGAAGGGGCCACCACCGAGAAGGCCCTTTCCCCTGTATTTGTTGGTTTGTTTATTTGTTTATAAAATTTATTGGCCGCCCATCTTACCCCTGGGTAACTCTGGGCAGCTTACAGATATGTATACAGTTAAAACATAAAAAAATTTAAACCAGACATTGAAACCTAAGGACCGGGGAGGACAGAGTGGAGGGGGGAAGTGGGATCTGTTATTACTTGATCAACTCCCTCCATGCGCTGATCCCCCACTGGGCCTCCAAGCTGACTGGCAAAGCCACCTCTTTAGGAGGGTTGGGGGCCCAACCTCACATCCGGGGGGGGGAGGCAAGAGGATCAGAGAGCAGGAGCCACCACAGGGAAGGCCCTCCTCCCCCAGCCCCCCCACCAGCTGGAATAAATGGGCTGGCGGGACCCCCAGTCTGCCTCCTCCGCCAGCACGGGTGGGGAAGGCCAACCCCAGCGGGGGGAGGAGGTTCCTCAAGTAGCCTGGACCCATGAAGGGCTTTAGAGGGGATCTTGAACTGCCCCCGAAGCAGACTGGCCACTTTTCATGGTCCCACCCGATGGCCACCCCTGACAGGGTGGAGGGGGTCCTTGCCCTCATAAGAGGGGGTCTCCCTGCCCCTTACCATGCAGGCGAGCGGACCCACTTTCTGGGTCTCCACCCACAAGCAACGTTTGGTTTTAGTAAATGATAGAAAGGAACTGCTCCCCACGGAGGTTGGATCCGCCTGGCCCCGCAGACTCACTCTCAGCCGTGCACCAACGCTGAGGCGGAGGCTGTCGTGAGCCTTCGTAAACGTGAGGAAAATCTGATCCTGGGCTTTAAGCTTAACCCGGATGTAAACATTGAGCTGCAGGCAGACGGGCTGGAAAGGAGGCGCGTGGACGTGGGTCCCCAAGTCCCACCAGCTCCAGAACTTCTGCCGCTGCCCTTTCTCGTCAAAGACGGAGCCCCTGCAAAGGTCCAGGTTCAGCCTAGGGCGGAAAAGGCAAAATTAAAATGTGGCTGAAGGGGTTGTGTGTGTGTGTGTGTGTTTCGGACTTCCAGTGGGGGGAGGATGCAGGCAGCAGCACACGCCCGTCTCCATAGTGTTTATCACCATCCTACACCTTCCATAAAAAGCTTCGTAAACACTTTAAATGGTTGCAGGAAATGCCCCATCATCTTGCTGAAAACATTAAGGTCTGCGTGAAGCTCTCATGTTAAGAAATGTCCAGAGGGGACTAAAAATCAGCAGTTTGGCTCTCAAAGTTTTGCTCCTTTCTACACCCATTATGTGCAAAGAGAGTCCTAAACCCCCACGTTCTCCGTGCTGACAGTCCAAACAATCCGAATTCTGATTAAGATTTGTAGAGGCAGGTTCAGCTTTTGCCCCCTCGTGTAGCAACCATTTAAAGTTTGAACAAAGTGGCTTACAGCCGGTCCTCATGCTTACGGCAGCTGCAGCGTCTCCGTGGTCACGTGATCACAATTTGGGCGCTTGGCCACTGGCAGGTCTCTAGGACGTCTGGCGGCATCCCTGTCGTCTGGGATGAGTGACGGCCACCAACACCCCCCCCCAGCCGGCTCCCAACCCGGGAAGGAAAGGGGAGAAGCCGGGTTCACTTAATGACTGCACAACTCGCTTCACGAATGCTGCGATTTCCTCAACAACCGGGGCAAGGAATAAAGTTGGGCGACTCGCTTAACAGCTGCTGGCTTAGCCAGGGCTAGCAAGTCCGGTCCCAGCTGTGGTGAGAACCACCTGCCTGTCCGTTCCGGGAGGAGGTTTCTGCTCCCCTTTGGGCACTTAGTTTATATCTGGCCCTTCCAGAAGGCCTGGGGATGCAGGAGGACGGGAGCCTGGCCGGGGCCAAGCCTGCAGCCTCCCCCCAGGGAGCCCTTCTAAGCTGCTGGAAGCTCTTCCCTCCCTCCCTCCCTCCCTCCTTTCTTTCCCCCCCTCCGATTACCTGAGCCTTCCCTTTGGTTGGTCGTGTGCTGCGTAGCCCTGATTCGTGAAGAAGGCCAGAATTTCGCCGCCCTTGGTGTCACGAAGGACGCTGTAGGTGAACTGGGTCTCCCTCTCGTAAGTAATGAGGATGGCCAAGCGGCCTGACGGGTAATTGAGTAGGAGCTAAGGAAGGATATTGTTCATCCGGGGTGCCGGATAGATCCATGACTTAATAATATATATATATATTTATCTTAGTAACATGGTCTTCTTTTTATTTTTGTAATTTTTATTCCACTTACATTTATTTTTATTGACAAAACTATCCTTGGCTGGTTATGCTAAAGCGTCCAGCTTAGTGGAAAAGCTCAGCAGCAAACGTTACAATTTGGGGCAATTGTTAGAGAGGCAGCTCGGAAAGGGGACGCCCTGCCCCCTCCCTCCCCCAGGCTGACCATAGAGATAAATGAGGAATTGCCCCCCCCCTCCGGCCTTTACACACGTCCCTCGGATCCCATACGGCGCTTGCGTCTCCCGGAGAGAGGGATTTTCAGCTAGGACCCCTCTCCTTCCTCTAAACCAGGGGGGTCCAATTTGGGAACTTTGAAGCTTGTGAAGTTCCATTCCCAGAATTCCTTGGTTGGGGATTGCTGGGAGCTGAACTCCACAAGCCTTAAAGCCACCGAGGTTGGACGCCCTGGCTCTGAATTTTGTTCATTGGCAGATATTAGACTTGGCCCGTTCCGTCCGGGAAGAGGAGGAGGAAGATCTTTCCATCCTGATAGTATCTTCTCACAGGCTGGAAGGGATGGCAGAGCTGAGGAAGAAAGCAGAGAAAACAGGGGAGGCCAGAGCTCTCTCCTCGCCTCCGATCACACGGCCCCCCCAGCTGCCAGCATGCTGCACAGCCACCGAAATGAAAGGGGTTTTTTTAGGATGCCGCATATGGACTGGCGTCTTTGGCTTCCAATTTGTTTGGATACGATAGTTCTCAAATCTGGGAACTGCCAGAGCAGTTGGGCATCCGTAGAAGTTGAATGAATAAATTACACCAGAAAGTTAAACTTTAAGAAAGAGATATTTAGGGTGAAAGTAAGGGAGTTGTTTAAGAAAGACGCAGGGAGCAGAGGCTCTGTGAAATTAATCATACTACCTAATAACTAGTAAGAATAAGCCACATGAGGACCAGACGTTAACGCCTGGATGCAAAAACCTGGGTGGCCACTAGATGGCAGCAGAGCTATTTTTCTAGGGCCCTTCGGAGTTTTGGAAGCCCAGAGCTGGAAACAGTCGACTGGGAGGCAGGGGGTCTTTCCTTTCTCTCAGCCGGCTGCCACGGAAAAGAGGAATCTCGACTCACGACCACAATGGAGCCCAACATTTCGGTTGCTAAGCAAGACATTTGTTAAGTGTATTTTGCCCCATTTTATGACCTTGCTTGCCACAGTTGTTGAGTGAAGCACTGCAGGGGTTAACTTAGTCACACGGCCGTTAAGTGAATCCAGCCTCCCCTTTTGCTTGTTGGAAGGTCGCAAAAGGGGATCCCGTGACCCCCCCGGGACGCTGCGACCATCATAAATATGAGTCAGTTGCAGAAATTCAGATCACGTGACCCTGGGGATGCTGCAACGGTTGTAAGTGTGAAAAATGGTGGTAAGACACTTTTCCCATTGTGGTTGTAATTTTGAATGGACACTAAATGAACTGTTGTAAGTCGAGGACTCCCTGTAGCCGCCCCAGAAGCCCGCAAGGACTTTTGTTTCTTTGCAAAGGCCTTTTGGGAGATGGAGCCCCACCTGAAGGCCGGCCAAGCGGGGTCAGCCGCCCACCTGGGTCAGGGAGAGGAGCCTGAGAAGGCCCAGCTGCCACACAGGGCCAGGGAGAGGCGGGTTCAGTCCATCCTCGGCCCCGGGACCCCCCGAGTGACCCCTCCGCCTCTGTCTCAAGGGTCTCTGTGGTGGGTCAAAAATGGAGGAGGGAGCTCTCCCGGGGCTGTCGGGGGCTCCTGGGCAGGACGGGCTGCGTAAAGCCCCAGACGGCCGTGGGGGGCTGTGAGGTCGGCGTGCAGAGCGCAGCCCTCCAATTTCCCCCCCTTTGGGCCAGAGAGGGGGGGCCCAGCGTGCTCCGTCCGCCTCTTGAGCGGGCCTTCGGGCTCCCAAACTGGGACCCCGCCAGGGAGGAGATCCGCCCACCTTTAGCTGCTCAGCTTTGAATCCCAGGTTCATCTCCAGCAGCTCTTTGGGCTCCGGATACCGTTTCTCTAGGCTCTCGGTTTCTGGCTGGGGCGGGTGGTCCAAGAACTTGAAATGAATTTTGATGCCTGAAATACGTTGAAGAGCAGATTGAATAGTCCAGAGCTTCAAGAAGGTCAGGATTTCACAGGATTTGTCTCTTTTATCACGGGGGGGGGGGAGGGAGGAAAGATGCTTTCCCATTTTTCCACGGGAACTCCTGGAGAGGCGGAGGCCTTATTTGGAGAAATGAAATGAGGATAGGCAGGCTCCGGAGGGTTAGAGGGTACTCACATGGGCCATATTTTATATATTGCATAAATATCTCTCTGTATCTCTCAAAGCCTCGTTCTTGTAAACTAGGAGAAAAATAGTTGAAAATGAGCCGTCAGTAGGCGGACTAAGGTGTTGATGCCGTACAAGCAGCTGACGAAAATGGGGGTGAGGGCAGCTAAGCAAAGAAACCAATCAAATATATTGATAAAGCACGTCAGAGAAAGCACGCGGCTCTTGGCTTTTCTACTGAGCCAAAGAACACAGATGGGCAATTTTCCTTCGGCCTCTTTGCGGCCCTTCCCTGTCTTACTTTATTGGAAAGGTGGGGGGGGGGTTTAATTTGGTAGGAATATGCTAGTTTGCAAACTTAAGGCTCCCACAATTGGGCTGCAATCCATTGTGACGTCTACTGAAATTCCACAAATTTGTAGCCCTGTTCTGATGACATCACTGGAGGCTTTTAAGAGGAGATTGGACAGCCATTTGATCAGAGTAGTATACAGGGTCTCCTGCTTGAGCAGCGGGTTGGACTACAGGACCTCCGAGGTCCCTTTCCAATTCTGTTATTCTGTTATCTGGAAACATGTCGGGTTTATTTAAATAAATCATTCCCCAGTACGCTGCTTCTTACATAGACTATTCTTACCTTGCCAGACTTAAATGTGGCCACACCCAGTGCTTTATTTTGGAATTGTGTCCACCTGGCAAAAGCCCACTAAGATAGGAAAAGAATATTTTGCAGGGGAGGGTGGACATTAAGCATTTGGTGTGGACTGCAAAAATCTTGATGACCACTAGATGGCAGCAAGGAGCTAGATTTTCAGATAGGAGAGGGAGCTGTTCAACTAGAAGGCGGCTTACTCTTCCATTAGCATCCTTCTAGTCTTGCTCTCCAGTGACCCTCGGTGATGAGGACGGATGTCGATCTCACTGCCTCGCCTCTCCATGAGCTCCTGTACCACACACTGGAAGACCTCTTTGTACGTCCTGCAACACAGAAACTGCAAAGGAGCCCGGGGTTCAGAGGAGGGATGGCCGCCCCCGGCCCTCCTGGGGTCTGGCCTCGGCCTTTTCAGCCTTTAACCATCTCCAGCAGAGGAAAGGCTTGTTTTGTGTCCCAACGTGGCTCTGGTTTTGTTGGTTTTTTTGCAGCAGTCATTATGTGGATCAATAAATTGCTAATGAGTGTGGTTTTACCGAAAACTGGAAATAAATGCCGATTTTCAACAAAGCCCACCATACAAGTGACTGCAGGAGGCTGCAAATAGTAGGAATGCAGGCTGGTTGCTGAGTGGCCGAAGGGGTGACCGTCAGGACTGCATGGTAAGTCAGCCCCACCCCCACCCCCCGTAGCTCCTTCAGAACTTAGAACGACCACTGGGCGACCCGTTGTAAGTCGAGGGCTGCCTGCATCGCTGCCTCTCTGCCTTTAGGGATCAGTAGGGATACAGGTTGTGAGAGCCAATGTGCACAATTCTGTCTCCTCCAAAACTACGGTCCTACAGAGATGCTTTATGCCAGTGGTTCTCAACCTGTGGGTCGGGACCCCATTTGGGGTCGAACGACCATTTCACGGGGGTCGCCAAACAACGCAGTCTGCCATTTCCCCCCCCCCCTTTTCCTTAGCTGTGCTACTCCCTTTTCTTCTATTGGCTTTCGAAAGCCAATAGAATAGACTCTCTTGAATAGAGTCTAATTCTATTGGCTTTCCAAAGCCAATAGGAATTGTCCAGGCTGTCTCTGCCCTGCTGAGCCCGCCAAAAGTCCCATTCTGCAAACAGTGCACCAGTTGAGTAGTCCTCGACTTACGACTGGTTGAGTAATCCCCGACTTATGACCGGTTGGGGGTCGCGGCATTAAAAAGGTTGAGAACCACTGCTTTATGCCATTAACAATGGATAATTTTACAGTTTTATATAGTATAAGGCTTCGTCCAAGGTTTTACCGGGAAAAACCCGGTTCTTTGTGCAATTAGTTCCTCAGGAAACCATCATCGCCATTCAGACAGATATTTAAAAGACAGACCTACATGATCCATTCTCTCCGGTTTCTCCTCCAGTTCCTCTGGGGAGGGCAAAGGCTTCAGGAGGGAGGTGCAGAACTCACAGCGACCGATCAGGCACAGGTCAGTGGCCGAATGTTCCTCAAAGAAACAAGGCGTTAATCAAGGTTTAATCCACAGTGCAAAAAGTTTTGTAGGTAAACCTGATTATACACAGGTCACCCAGTATAACACATCACTTCTACGTTCGTGAAAATCATAGTTTTCATTTAGCGAGAACCTCACATTCACAACTGGGTAGAAAAACAGTCGATGTCGTGACTAAGTAGGATTTCTTTGTAGTTGTGATGGTGTACACAGAGGATTACGGAGGAGACTCTGGGGAAACATGCAGCAAACATTAGCAGAACATGAAGTTAGCCCTGGAAAACAGGAGGCGGTGAGGGAGGAACCTTGGCTGTCTTTGGTGAAAAGGGAAGGGAAGGGGACGCCAGCATCCAAGGCTGGCGCCAGCCTTTCCAGATAGGCAGGCGTGGATATCACAAGGCTTGCTCCAATTCTACTTTATCAAAATAGGCTGTAATAACAAGACCTTGTAGTAACTGAAGGCAGGTGGAGAAAGGAGCTGGCAGATCGATGCTATTGGAAATAACAAAGGGTTGAGAAAGCTCCGGGGCTTCAGATTTCACGGTGGCACCTTCCTCTCCTCTCCGTGGACCCCCCAAATGCCCAGAATGGAGAGCAGACGCTGTGGCCAGAGAGGAGGGGGGCGTGCGGGCCTTGTCAAATGGTAGCCAACAGGACTGCAGACTTCATGTGGTACTTCGCCTCCCTCGATCTGAAGGGTGGGTGGTAGAAAAGCTGCCTGGCCAGGCTCACCCTGGCACAGCCAGAAAAGGCCGCTTCGGAAGTGGAGCAGGGAAGCCTGGTGGCAGAGTCCCTCCGTGGCAGACGAGGCCAGCCAGAAGGGGGGGGGTCCTGCCTGCCTCAAGCCCCCTCAGTGAGAGCACTTAGCATTGCCTGCCCACCTTTAGCTGGTCCTTGCAGAAGAGCTCAAGCCCTAAGAATCGCTCAGCTGCCTCCACGAACTTCCTACTCAACTTCTCTACCACCCGCTCTTCTGGGGGATCATGATTATGATGATGGCGGTTACTCTGTTGCTTTGCATGTATGCCGAGGGCTTCTGCGCTGGAGACAAAGTCCTTGCGGGTCTCAGCACACTTTGCCAAATAAAGCTATTCTACCCTACCCTACCCTACCCTACCCTACCCTACCTACCCTATTCTGTTCTATTCTGGAGGTTTTTGAGAAGACATTGAACCACCATTTGATGGTATAAGGTCTCCTGCTCAAGCAGGGGGTTGGACTAGATGACCTCCAAGGTCCCTTCCAACTCTTGTCATTCTGTGTTTCATTCCATTCCATTCTGCATTCTATTCTATTCTATTCATGCGGGATGCTCCCTTCCTTCTCTTCTTAAATAATTGATTCCTGGGACAGTGTGAGCATTTAATGAGACTCCTTTAAAACTGTTTTTTTTTTATCTACCAGCCATATAAATTCTCTTAAATAAAATTAAATAAATAAATAAATAATTCCCCGGGGCTTGGTTGTTTTGCCATTGTTGAATTATTTGGAATCTTGAATAGAAGCGTTGGGTTTTCTTAAGCCTCAGATTTATCCCTTTGGATCATTTTGCAGAGGTAGGTAAGCCCTCACGCTGGCTTTCTATACAAAAAGCTTTGAATTTGCTTGGTGTGTTGTGTTATTTTTAGCTGCAAAATGTCCTGAATTTGCAGCAAAAGCTGAATAATCTTGCTTCAGGGGAAGAAATAATAAATCTGAAATCTCACCTCATCTAGGACAAAAGACTTTATCTTCTCCTCCTCAGAAGTGCTTTCTTTGAGGTTGACAAAGCCATGTATGGAAAAGGATTTCATTAGGGAAGAAAAGAGAAAAGAAAACAAAGTCCCCATAGAAGAGAACCCCCAACTCACTAGCACTGATGAGATTACCTAGTCGGGTTATGAAATGTTTGCAAGCAAACATCCAAGCTCAGACAGCAGCAAAGACTCCAAAGTTTGCCTTTTTTTCATAAAAGAACATACCAGGTGAAATGAAATATAAAAACTATCTGGGAAATATTCTGAATAAATCAGAGTTATACTTACTCACATAACCATTTTAAATAGAAAACCAAGCTTCCTAACTGTGAAAAAAAATCCACAAAAATAATGAGAAATATTTAGGATCTGAACACTTGGCCCTGGGAAAATATAATTTAAAAAAATCCAAAAAAAGATATAAGCCTCTTGTCAACTTTGAAAATGAGCATGGCTGCTGCAGCTGTTTTCCCTACTCATTTTCGGTTGACGTACAGCACGGAGGGAGCAGGGTTTACCATGTGCTTCGCTACACTAAACAGATTTACTCCCATGGGAACCAAGGTCATCGGCTGCTCCTGGGACTGCAGGCTGGGCGTGTGAAAAGCCCACCAAGAAGATGTATTGGGAAATGTAGTAGCTTGCATAGCTTTAGGGGTGGGATTTCTTCACTTTGTATTGGGGAATTGTTAGGTGTCTATTCAGACTTGGTTTCATTTTTGAAGTGTTGATACTTTGCATCAATAAACATGTTCTTTGAGGAACTTGCAAGCTTCGGAGTTCTGCTTTATTTGACTCTGTCTGTCACAGCGGTTCTCAACCTATGGGTCGCGACCCCATTTGGGGTCGATCGACCATTTTTCTGGGGTCGCCAAAGGCGGTGATCCGCCATTTTTTGCGGCGCCGTGCACGCGCTCCGCGCATGGGGGCAGCCCCATGCACGCGCTCCGCGCATGGGGGCACCGCCGCGCATGCGCTCCGCGCATGGGGGTGGCGCGGTGCACACGCGCCACGCGTGGGGGGCCGTCGCGCACGCGCGTTGCGCATGGGGGGCGGCGCAGAACGTTTGTGTGACGGGGGTCGCCGTCACACAAACGTTGAGAAGCACTGGTCTGTCAGAACCATGACCCCCCTTCTTTGGCTCTATCTGGATGATCTAATTAATTCGACACAAGTGTCTTTTCACCTCTAGCATGTACACATTCCTACTCCAGCAATTATAAATGTTATTGGCTATAGTAGTACAATGTTTTGAACCTTGGCCATTTTAAGATGTGTGGACTTCAACTCCCAGAATTCTCCAGCAAAGCAAAGCAGAACAAAGCAAAGCAATGCAATTCTGGGAGTTGAAGCCCACATCTCAAAATGGCCAAGGTTCGGAAACACTGCTCTGGTGGTATGTAATGTGCAGCGATTTATAAAGCAGAGAAGGGATGTGACAGACTTTGGTGGTGCTCTAGAAAGCCCGGTGTGGATCCGTTCAGGGTTTCAGAAGACCTTTAAAACAGGCAGTCCTCAACTTACAATGGCTCATTTAGCGACCGTTCCAAGTTACAACGGCACTGAAAAATGAGACTTATGACCATTTTTCACATGGTTGTTGCAGCATTGCTGTGGTCATGTGATCAAAATTCAGACACTTGGCAACCGGTTCAATTTGTGACCGTTGCCGTGTCCCAGAGTCACTTGACTCCCTTTTGCACCCTTCTGACCAGCAAAGTGAATGGGGAAGCCCAATTCACTTAATAACTGTGTTACTAGCTGAACAACTGCAGTGATCCACTTGACAACTCTGTCAAGAAAAGCTGTAAAATGGGGCAAAACTCACTTAATAACTGCCTCACTGATAAATAGATATTCTGGGCTCAGTTGTGATCGTAAGTCAAGGACTAGTAGAACGCAGCGTACCTTGAGTCTCCAGCTCAGTCTCACATACTCCTTCTTCCGTGTGATACAATATTTCTGCTGAATAACAACAACAACAACAACAACAAAGCTATCAAAGTCCTGAACAGGTATCAGTCACAAATGGGAGCCTTCTGGAGAAGCCAGGGAGCTCCAGGTACACGAAAGGGAGCAGCAGAAGCGACCCCAGGGAAAAAGGAGGACCTTCAGGATGGAGGCATCCCTCGCTCGGTCCTTCCTTGAGCAAAAGGCCTCGGGGATCCTCCTGCCCTTCCCTCCTCTGCTCTTCCCCTGGCTGACGGGTGAGCAGGGGGAAAGGAAGAGCCTGCCTCCTCCATCCAGGGAGGGAATTGTCAAGAAAAGATGATAGCTTTCAAAATGTGGCAGAAGCTACTTAGGAAACTTCACCTTTTGCCCATGTGAATTGGCTCCCTTCAGGGTAAGACAGGGGATAGGGGGTCAACGGAGCTATTTTTCCAATTTGCCCTGGATAGTCAAGGTTCAAAGAGATGCCGGCAACATTTTCAAACAATGGCCTGTCTGGATACTCCTAAAGACTTCCTTCCTTCCTTCCCTCCTTCCTTCCTTCCTTCCTTCCTTCCTTCCTTCCTTCCTTCCTTCCTTCCTTCCTTCCTTCCTTCCTTCTTTCCATTCTCCCTCCCTCCCCTCCCCTCCCCTCCCTCCTTCTCTCACACTCTACACAATTGGTTATTTTAATATTAAAATTTATTATATCTGTTAATGTTTCTAAATCAGATAGATAGACAGACAGACAAATAGATAGATAGATAATCTTTATTATCATTTTTACTGTGGGCACAATGGCACACATTAAAAATGAAATTTAGTTGCGTGTTCTCAAAGTGTACACATACATAACACACATTTAAACATACTATATGCAACATATATAGAGACCTACACCCTTACATAAAAATAACATATAAATATTAATCACTGTCCATCCTGAATACATAACGGAAGGAGGAAGCTTTAGAGTTGACAAGGTTAATACTGTATGGAACAAAACTGTGAGTGAATCTGGCTGTTCTGCTTCGGATACCACGGAGCCCCCCCCCCTCCCAGAAGGTAACAAGGAAAACAGTTTGCGAAGAGGACACGTAGTGTCCCAGACAATCTTGTGGACCCTGCTCAAGCAACGCTTCTGTGCTATGTCCTGGATGGGAGGGAGGGAATAATCTTTTCGGCCGTCCTCACCACTCTCTGCACTGCCTTCCTGTCTGAAGCAGGGATGCTTCCAAACCAGACTGTGATGCTGTATGACAGGATGCTCTCTATCGTCCCCTGTAGAAAGTGGTCAGGACAGGGCAAGGAAGATGCGCTTTTCTCGTAAATCCTAATGGGATTGGAATTGATACCATACCAGCTTCAGGAATATTACGGAAATACCGCGATTTTTTTGCAACTTACTGCTTTCTGTGGTCTCACTTTTCTCTTTTCTACCTGTACTTCTCGGCTCCTTCTTCTCTATTTCTACATGAGAGATATTATGGCAAGAATCAAACTCAATAATTTATCAACAGAATTGCATTAATGTTTGTATCTCACCCTACCGGAGGCCAACTGGCCTGTCTTTGAACACATCTATTGAAGAGAATCAGCCTCTTCTCTGAGCCATCAATTTCACCCCTGAATTGCTCTTGCTAACTGCAGGAGCCCCCTCCTCTGCCCATCCCTCACTTCCTTGTTCCCATCCCTCCCCTTGGAAGCCCAGACTCTCAGCCCAGCTTCCGCGGGAACCTACTCGGCTCACTAGAGTCTTCAGAGCTGACGGAGTAGCTCCATTCTGTCTGAGTCTCCAAATCGGCAACTTCTCGTTTTCTGCAGGAGGGGAAAACAAATCCAGGAAGAAATTTCCTATCAGGAGGCATCGCACAGATGCCCTGTTGTTATCAGAGGGACTATTTATTCACTTAACTGTTATAATAATGTATAACCATATTTAATTAATATAGATAAGTGTACATACTTGTTAAATAACAAATACATTTTTACAAATCCATGAATCAACTAAAAATATCACAATCTTCTCTATAAAGCAGCTGATACTACTGTAATTAGCATGCCTTATACCAGAAGAAACCAGTCTGAAATATCAAATCAATCTGCAGCGATTAAATCTACAAATGCTTTCCCATAAACAATTATTTTGTTTATTAAATTTACATGCTGCCCATCTTGCTATCCAATTATAAATGGGCAGAGCTTCAATTATACTTTTGGGACTACCATCTTGACTTTGTTGTCCTTATTCTGCAGACATGCCAGTGAAATAAATAACTCGATAACATTATCAAGTATAGGATGGAAGGAGAAAAAAATGATGCATATTAGTGTTTATTGTCTATTCCATTTCAGAATTATTAGTTCATCTGCAAATGTTTTCAAAATGCTTAGACAAATATTTTAAATCCATTTCACAAAAAATAAATTATTTAAAATATATATAAGTTTACATTCCTGGAAGTAAGGCCTCTGAGAACAGCTGAAAATGTATACTGTATTAATTCATTCATTCATTCATTCATTCATTCATTCTATATATTATAAATCTGTCAAATTAGTGTGTGTTGATGTATTTATGTTGGTAACAGTTCCAAAATAAGCACCGCCTCTTACTTGGGTAACTGAGTTTCAGGAACTGGAGTCGACAAAGGTCTTGTCTGGAAATCTACACGGAGGAAGAAAAAAGATTGCTTTTCAAATCATAATAAAAGTGGGAAAATTGTTTTCATTAGCTCTATAAGATACAATACAGTATTATCCACTAATTTGTAACTCAATCCTAAAATACATTAAAGTTGTCACATCTGATTTTTGATTAATTTGTTGGTTAGATAGGATAGGTATATATTAGGGGTCTTCAAACTTGGCCCTTTTATGTCTTGTGGACTTCAACTCCCAGAATTCCTCAGCTAGCGTGTCTGGCTGAGGAATTCTGGGAGTTGAGGTCCACAAGTCATAAAAGGGCCCAGTTTGAAGACCCCTGGTATATATGAAGAAAATAAGCCACAGCTACCTTTTCCTAAAGTTTGATCAGCATTTTCTGTGTAACCTTCATGAAGAGCTCCTGATTTTTCTTCACTTGACCCCCTCTGCTCCTTGCTCCCCTCTGTCCTGCTCCCACTCTCGCTCAAAAGGCGGTTGCTCTCTTCAATGTAGGTTTCTATTGACCATTGAGCAAGATTCGATTTTGCCACAGGGTTCTCCTCTTGGTGTTTTTTGACATTTTCAACTGTGAGGAGAGAGCTGGAGAGCTTGCTGCTCTCCGGCTTGGACGCTGCATCTGGGAACGCCTCTGAAGGCAACTCTTTTTTACTACCCACTTTTGTGGGGGTTGGGGTCTTCGACATATTTCCAGTGCAGGAAACAAGACTGTTTTCTGAAAGAAAAAAGCATTGCTATATTATTTCTTCAATTAAGATAAATGTGCTTTTCTAAGAAAACATACAATATTTGAATCAATATTATTATATTTGTTTAATGATGTTTTTGAACTGAGACTTGGCCTTGAGCATGAAAGAGTCCAGAAGACATTACAAAATACATCGGTCTGATCTTCAGCAAGTTTTATACTCTCTATCCTTCTGGAAGTCCGGGTGAAACTTCTTTGTATCAGAGGCTTCAGAGCTGAAACAGTGTGCATATAATATCATCAAAATCAGCTTTTTCAAGGATTGTACTAATAAAAGAATTCTGTTACAGGCTACTTGATCTCCTACGTTTTCTGGAGGACCCAACCAAAGTATGAGTTATAAAGCTCAGCTGCTCAGCATAATCTTTATTCGTAACCTTCCCTAAAGGGAAGAAGAATTGAAGGGAAATAAAGAAAGTTATGGTTTCAAACTGGACAGTAAAACAACAGAATTGATAGTAACTATGATGGCAATGAGGAGACTTCCAGGGCATAGAAATATTCCTTGTGTCCCCTCAGAATGAAGCATCTAGGCTTGGCAGAAGATCCTCCAAATTGCCCAACCACTGTCATGCAGTAGAGGACGGGGGCTTCTATAGAGAAGACGACAGAGGGATAGCAACCACCATTTTATATCTCACAAATGGAGCACAGCTTTTAAAGGTAGGCAAGCATCAAAGGAAAACTCTACAGAACTAGATCACAGTTCTATCAATTTTGTTCTAGCTATGGAGGCAGGGTGAAGTAAAGATTGGAAAATCATTCAAATTCAGATTCAAATCATTGACTGATTGATTGGATTAGACTGGATTCATTTCATTGAATGATTCAGCTATTGGTGATGCGTGGTTTTTACCTGCCACTCTGCCGCCTCTCTGCTGGAACTAAGGAGGGTGGCAGAAAGCTGCCATCAGTATGAATTTTGCAGGTTGTTCCTGTTCAAAATGGATGGTTCACCACCCATCCAGCATCCTTCTTAAAATGCCCTGCTGGATGCTTTCTGACAGCCCATGAAAAGGTAATGAAGCCCTTTTTCACCCTGTCTTCCTAGCAACTGGTATCCAGGTCTAATATTCAGAAGATTCCATGCAGCCATTGTGACTAATAGCTCCAGATCAGCTTATCCTCCGTGACATGATCTTGTCACTCGGTCACACCTAACACCATCAGGATTCCATCAATGAATTCCATATTGCAATTAAATATACATATCAACATTGTACATCGTGAAGTCACTGAAGAAAGGTTATAGTGGTGAATTCTACCCTAATAAGATAAAGGGAGAATTTTAGTGGAAATATATTTGGAGTTTTTTGCCTCTGGAAAATTCTGGATGGAGAGGCTTGATAACGCTTTTTCTTGTTTGCTATTAATTAATATTTATCAAATGTAAACATTTTATCAAACATAAATACATTGCATTTCTTAATGGCATTAGTATTTAGATTAATATCAAATGACAATCCCCTTTGTAGCATAGAATGCTAAGATGGTTTAGCTGGTGTCTTCAGCTAAGTCAGGGGTCTTCAACCTTGGCAACTTTAAGACTTGTGGACTTCAACTCCCAACTTCCAAAGCTGGCTGAGGAATTCTGGGAGTTGAAGTCCATAAGTCTTAAAGTTGCCAAGGTTGAGGATCTCTGAGCTAAGTGAACAGTATTAGCCTTGACATTCATTCCCCCCCTTTTAAAAAAATAAATAAGTAAACAAATGCTATTGGCCTTGAAACTTATTCTTTCCTCTGTTTGTCTTTAAATAAATACCCTTCTCATTGGGGCTTATTGTTTCCCATCAAACAAAGAAGCATTAGTTTATATTGAAAAACAAAATAAATACGCCTTTTTTCCTACTTTGATAAATAAATGAATAAGTGTTGCTAGCCTTCAGACTTGAAAGTGTTTTCTTTTTTAAAATAAGATTTTAAAAAACGCATAAAAATGTCATTGCTGTAATCGTGAACCCAATGTTCCCTCTGTTTTTACTAAATAAATAAATACCTAAATAAAGGCGATTTGCCTTGAGAGTCCCAAAGGTGATTTTATTTTAAAGACAGCTGGGATTTCTGATTTTTCTTTAAGAAAATGTTTCCTTTTCTTTCAGAAGCATCAGAAAGCCCAGCTGCCTTTAAAAAAAAAAAAAAAAGCACCTTTGGGACACCAGGACCTGTAGGCAACCTTGGCTCTTTTATGACTGGTGGACTTCAACTCCCAGAATTCCTGAGCCAGCATGGCTCAGCTTGGAAACCTCTCCCTTTTCTCTTAGCATAGCTGGTTCAGGAATTCTGGGAGTTGAAGTCCACGAGTCCTAAAAGAGCCAAGGTTGCCTACCTCTGAGTTGAATGGGAGCCTCCTCCGTAGGCATTGGCCTCGAGGCTCGCTCTTCTCGAAGACTTTGAGGCAACCCCTCCTCCAAACACCAGCTGGAGGGAAGAACAATGTCGGGGTCTCTGCGGGCATTTTGGGATGCGAGAAAAGAGCTCCCCGCGGAGGGAAGGCAAAGGACTGCAGAGCGGGCTTGGAATCGCCTCCCAGGCGTCACTCTAACGCTCGCAAGTCTAGGGTCCGCTCGCTATCCACTTCCGGATCCCCGCACCGGAAGTGGCGCCGCTCTCGGCGGATGTTTGCCCGTTTCGGCTTCCGTCGCCCGCGCGGCCCCTCCTTCCGCCTCGTCGGCGCTGCTGGCCGGGGGCGAGGATGGCGGCGGCGGCGGCGGCGGAGCGGCTGAGCTGGTGGGAGCGCTCCGAGCGGCCCTTGGCGCCTCTCAGCGAGCGGCAGCGGGACTCGGTGCTGGAGCTGCGCGGGGCCTCGCCGGGGTTGCCCCTGCCGCCGGAGGTAGGCTGGCCCCTCTCGCGGGAGCTCCCCCGTCCGGGTGGGGAGCGAGGGGGTGGGAAGGGCGGGCTTGTCGTGGCAAGTGGCCTGGGTAGGAGGAAAGGAGACCACGCGGAAGCCCCGCGGGAGGGGCGGCATTCAAGCCCGGGGCAGTGAAGCCTTCTGGGACGAGCGGGAAGGGTGCCTGGGAAGAAGTCGCGGAAGGGGCTCCTTCGGGGCGCCCCTTCTCCCTCCTCCGATACGGGGCTTGGAGCTTTTCTTGCAGACGTCTCTCCCCCCAGCGAAGCAGAAGCCTCGGGGAAAAGTCCTCCAAATGTCAGAAGTGCGTCTCGCCCTCTTTGGCCGTGCCAGGCGCGGGAGAGAAAGCAATTCTGCTCGGAGGAGTTAGCGATGAAAGGATACCAGGCTGCCCAAAAACAGGGGCCGGCCGGACACACCATCGGACGCACCGGACAGAGCAGAGGGCAACTCCCGAGAAGGAGGAAGGAGTGGGGAGAGCAGCCGGCCCAGAGGATCGCCCCCGAGTGGGATACGACTGAATGGATAAGATCGGCTAAATCAGGGGTTCTCAACCTTGTCAACTCCCAGAATTCCTCAGCCAGCAAAGCTGGCTGAGGAATTCTGGGAGTTGACGTCCACAAGTCTTAAAGTTGCCAAGGTTGAAAACCCCTGGGCTAAATGGACTAAATAATGGATAACATCATTGTCATCATCAACATCATTGGTCTAGAAGCGGGGAAGGGAGGGGAGGGGTTGGCTCTAGCAAAGCCTCCTAGCCTTGACGATGGGATCCAGTCTGGGTACCACCCGGCTTGAGAGACCACCCTGGGCTTCTCCTTCAACCCTCAGCTACCAAGAGTCTCTGTTATTGGCTACATAATATATTAACATTCTATTATTTTGAAAACTTAATGTACTGAAACTAGGGAAAGAAAAGTGAAAATTGTATCAATATTACAATTTAGGATGTCAAGATTACATGGGTAAATTTATGTGGCTTGGCTTTTTAGCAGGATTTGAATGTTAATTGTAGTTTAATATTCCAGTTTGGCCCTTGGACCGTGTGATTCTTACTGCTACTGGAGGATTGTGGTGTGTTTGTTACTGCTTGATTCTCCCTTGGTATTTAAATATGATTTGAATGTGTATATTATATGTATATTAGTAGTATGTAAAGACCTTGCTTCAATATTTTATCACTTACAAGCCGGATACAATTTACTTGTACAATATTGTCACCTGCCAGGAGACTTATTGAATGATTTTTTTTTTCTTTTAACAGCTACCCATAGAAGATTTAAATAGTCTGGTCCAGCCATCATTAACGGTGACGCTGACAGCCATGTTGCCAGAATCCACAGAGAACATCCTCTTGAAAGGATTCTCTTCTTTTGGTATGGAAAATGAAAGAATTGAAACGGCGCAGCAGGTAAAAAAAAAGACACAAAGAAACAGCAAACTCTCTCTGGTTCTGGACTAATACAAAAAAACTACAGATGACTACTTGTGCAGAGATTCAGTTTGCAAAAGGCAAAGATGATTTGGAGCATACAGGAAGAATGTGTGTCTTTGACCAGCCAGAGGCAGGGAAAAATGCACTTGATTTAAGGAGGTTCAGATGGCTGCAACAAGCAAGTTATCTTTTCCTTTTCAAATTCATGTCACTGCATAGCTCTAATCACTAATTTGGCCCTTAGCTTTCCAATTCCATTTGGGACTGAAATAACCAGTTCCTGGATAGCTGGCAATGTTGGCCTCTCCTTTCTTCAGTTGGATCATTTTAAGGAGTCTGAGGATGTTAGAGTCAATGCATCTAAAGCCTCTTTAATTTGTTACCAGAACTCCAGAGTGGGCTTTCAAGTTACATTGGGTTGACGTAGTACATTTCTGTCTTTTGAACTTGGGTGAAAATGGGAGGAAAAGTGAATGCTGGGATTTGGGAGGGAAGAACCCACAAGTTTATGCAAATAGAAATAATGACAGCGCTTGAGAGCCAGTTTGGTGCAGTGATTAAGGCATCCTGCTGGAAACCTAGTTCAGCCTTCGACACAAAGCTGGCTAATGACCTTGGGTCAGTCACTTTCTCTCAGCCCTAGGAAGGAGGCAGGGGCAAAGCACTTGTGGAAAACCTTGCCAAGGTGGAGGGGAAAAAAAATCAGTATGCAGCTCTCTTCAGATTTTAGTTAACATTGATAAAATATTATTTTCTTCAACAACATTTTTAGAACAGCAAACAATACACAGAACGAATTGTCTGCTTCTTCTGAGTTAAGGGTGATATTTAAGAGCTTTATCCTTTCACTCGTCTAGTTCTTCTCGTGGTTTGATCAACTTCGTGCACAGATGGATCAAGATGAAGAGACCAAATATCGGTCTGTATATATATATATATATATTTATTCTCTTGATTGTAATTTGAATAACAGTGTATAGTAGCCATCAATAATAACTAAAGCAGCCGATACGAACTTTAATTTCTATATCTTGTACACCATCATTCCCCAGCCTTTCCAGATTGGCAGTGCAGCATGATGAGGGAGGGGGGGGAAGAGGGGATGGTTTTGTGTGAGGGGCAGTGTATGTACCTGCCGCTTATGCGAGTTGGGCTGTGTGCACACACATGTGTTGGCCTGCCACTCACACGGCCCAGTTGCAAATCTGCCGTGGGCCACAGCCCACCAGTTGAGGACCCCTGTTGTAGATTGAACATTGTTTTCTTCCTCCCTTTGTTTCACTTATTCAACAAGTTATTTGGAATCTTAGACTCATTTTATATATTCTGTTATTTCTCCAGTTTACCCAGAGCTACTTTTTTCAATTTCTTTTTTACCGTCTCCTTTCCCAACGGAGTGCCTCAAATGAACCACAGTACACATAGAATTAGCGTACGTAATTCTGCATGCAGTAGCTATTCAATAGGCAGTCCAAAATTTCTGCATTGTTTCATCAATTCCCCCATTGCTGCAAACACTTAAAGGCACTCTGTGGTTTGTGTGCTTCTGTTTCTCCAGGCTGACCAGGGCAGCTTATTCTGGATTTGAAGAGCAGTGTGATGCCATACTGAATGATGTGAATTGTGCTCTTCAGCACCTTAAGTCACTGCAGGAACAATACCTCTTTGTCTCAACCAAAACAGGAACCTTGCATGAAGCCTGCGAGCAGCTGTTAAAAGAGCAGGTAACTCCAGAGCTGAGTGGCAGAAGATCAGCTTTTGAGTTCCCAAGGCCATTAATGCAGGAATTGATGTTCTGGAGTCTAGCATCACATGCCTTAGCTCTCGTATAATTTGGCTATATTTTTTCCCTCTGATGTGTTGTTACCACAAATATAACTGTTGAAGAGATGGAGGTCTGCAACCATGAGCCAATGGCTTATAACAGTGTTTCCCAAACTTGACAATTTTAAGGCATGAGGACT